AATCCCTCTCCAGAGGTTCATGGATATGCAGAATGTTAAAAAGCCTTCAGCTGATAGGAGAAAATGCCGGTGGAGACAGTGCTGCCAAGTAATGAGGATACAACACATAGAATAGTTATTCAGAATAACTTTGAAGCATGCAATTATGCATTAGACCTGTCTAATTTACCCAGAAGGACCCAGTGAAGCTAAATATTCAAACAAGGTGTCCCATTCTGAAAAGGGCAGCCTTGGAGAAGGGAAGGGAGGTGGTTAATTAGCAAGGTGAGCTGGACTAGGGAACTCTCTGCCCCTGAAAGCAGTCAAGAAGTTCAACGGTTGTAATCAACAGTGCATAGATTATGTGCAACGTGAATGCCAAGCAAGATGAAGAAGCCTGAGGGAAGTGGCTCCAGGCCTAATTGGGAGTGCGCATCAGGCAAGTCCCTCAGGGACAGCTTTCAGTTCCCTGAAACAAAAGCCAGTTTATTTCCCTGCCCATGAAGCAGCATTCTGCATTTAGAAACCACAGCAGAGGCACCCTGCTCTGCTCACTTTCATTACCAGGCCCCCAGCACAGACTTGCACTCCTAAGCAGAGTCAGGAGTTTCTCCCGAACCAGACGGATGGCGCATGCAACAAGCAACAGCACAAGGGGATCGGCTGAGGCAGCAGTTTAGCTGTGGTCCCACAAGGCTCTTTACGTGTGGGCTGCAAGACTGGCCATGCTGGGGACAGGGAAGGAATGGAGCAGAGAATTAATTAAAGAGCAGCATACATGAGGAAAACCCAACTCGGACAATTAGAAGCAATTCCAGATATTGGTCACTTGGGGCCCACCAGATGAGTTTTGCAGAGCCTCTTCCTTTTTCTTTGCAACTTCAGAAGAAACGCACGTGACAGCAAATTCCAAGAATAGCACAGAGGGCAGTGTCCCTCACAAGACTGGCAAGGGTTCCCCAAAGAAGAAATCAATAGCAGCAGATAAGCTGCGGGAAGGACAGCTTGCCAACCCCCACCAAGGTTCTCCCCTAAGCTATGGACAGAGCTGTGGATTCTGTTTGTTCCACAGAGCGTTCCAAGTCCATACAATGCGATGATGAGCCACTTACATCCCTGGACGGTACCTGTATGAACAGGATATGCATCCTAAAACAGGTGAAGAGAAACTAAAGGGGTATATATTTAACTGTTTCACCCTGTAAAACATCCAGAATGTTTGTGGGGGTGGGTTACCACAGGGTGACATAAATTCCTAAAATTAGTGTAAAGTTAGTTAGATCTGTGGGTGAATTGCCAAAGATCAGCAAGGATTTCCAACTCCAAAATGTTTAATGGAGCAGTTTCTCTCCCTCCTCTCAAGCTAGGTTGCTTGCATGAAGAAAAAGAAACCAGGAAATGAGTGTGTGAGAAAACACTGAGCTCAGCTTGAGCGCTGAAAATAAATCCTTGGTTCAGCAGGTGCTCATTTGCACTCTTTAAATAAATTTAAGGGCCAGTGTGATGTAGTGGTTAAGAGTGCAGGCCTGGGACCCATTTGATCCATGTTCAAGTCCCTGCTCAGCCATGGAGCCAACCTGGTGACTTTGGACTGGTCACAGCCTCTCAGCCCAACCCACCTCACAGGGCGGTTGTTGTGGAGATAAGATGGAGAGCAGGAGGAGAAAGATGTAAGCCACTTTGAGTTCTCTGTAAGAAAAGAGGTGGGATATAAATGAAATAAATGAAGTCTATCCCCCTTGTACAGCACAATCATGTGGCCATCTATGTAAAAGGAAAACCAACTAATTTACAGAGACTGAAGTCTCAGGTGCAGATGTACACGATGCAGCAACAGTGCACAGACCCATTGGTCTTTTCTGCAGACACACAGCCCACAAGTGAATCTGCGGCAGGAATAGCATGAAAGCCAAAAGGGGCTGATTTCCCTTCATATTAAAGCAAAGCAAGCCATGGGCCACTACCAAGTTAGGTGACCCAGTTGCAAAGCAGGGGAAAAAAACCAGTCAGTTTTGCTGCTATGCTGCCAAATAGTCCTTGACAGCAGGAGAACTCCGGCCATGGGACTTGGTTCCCAAACTGCCAAAAATCACCTATCATGACTGTTATTGTGTCAGCCTTTTTGCCCTGGCTCCACTTGGTGGACAGTAGATCCCTTAAGCCTGATGTCAAAGCGAGGAGCCATAAATCAATGCCAGCTCACCTGCTTTGCATGCAGAAGGTCCCAAGGTCAGTCCCAAGCATCTCCAAGAGAAACGTCTGTCTGAAGTCCTGCAGAGCCACTGCCAGCCAGCTAGTGGGCTAGCTGGACCACTGCTGTGACTCCACATAAGACGGCTTCTTCTTCCGATCGTGCAGAACACCCTGCAGGATTTTCTGCATCTTGCAGGAAGTGCACAGAAATTCCACCAAGCGCAAGTTACGGAGGGAAGTATTGTCAGGAGCTTGAAATACACTGCTGCAGAAAATCATCATCAGCAGCAACAGATTAATCTTGTTGAGGCCATGCTTCTCCAGGCAGGAGACAGTAATTCCTGAATTTTACAAGGCCCTGTAATTGGTATTGTCACTGTGCCTGAAACTCCTGTTGCCCTTTTCAGCCACAACAGGGGGGACTTGGAGCTGTGCTCAAGGAACCACAGCACAGCATCCCGCCCTGAACAGGAATAAAACCACAAGTCAGGGTTGCCAAATCACTTCCAGCATGTGGTTTTAAATAACTTCTAATTGCTTTAAGCAGCTCTAATTGAGTAAGTCACCCTTTGGCTAAACACAGCTGCTATTTAATTAGAAGATACAGAATGAGGCTAAAAGAAATCAAAGGGGCCCAATTATGAGCCATGCTCATAAAAAAAATAAGAGTGCCCAAAAGTTGTTATTCATGCTGTATGCCTGAAAAGCCTGCACATTCCTATGCCCCCTGCTGGCCGTAAGAAAATGTAGCAAATGTTTTTAACAAGAAAAAATACATGCGCAGGCAAGAATTCTTCAAGTGCCCTTGAATTACAGCCATACTTGAGGCACATGGAAAAACAACAAGGAGTTTAATGCAAAACAGCAACATACCACATCTCCCTTGTGACAGAATGAGATACAGGCCAGATTTGGACAATCACAGGGGGAAAGTAACCAGAGTTCCTTCCCCTTGCCTCCTGCCCAAAACACAATTTGCCTCATTACGCTCAGGGTGAGCAGCTTATTCCAACTTCCACCACATTCTGCTGCCTTCTATTGAAACTCGTCAAGCGACGTCTGGGTTTCGATCCTCACTGGGGGAAGGGCAGCCATGATGGCACTGAGATGTCCCTCATGCTGTCCAAACACAGCCAAGTGCATGGTGGGGTGGCTTTGAACCGTACAGCATGCCATGGATTCTGGGGTGGTTGCAAAGCCACCCCCTCTGTGCACCTCACAAGGCCAAGAAGGCATGGGAAGCTGCACACTATGAGGGCAATTAGGGAAATCACATGGTGTGCAACTAGCACGTCGGGGAGGGGCAAACGACCACAGTTCCTTTACCCCCAGTAGGCAGCACTTCGTCTTTTTCATCAGAAGGCATTCAGCAAATATTGCACGGTGTCAGAATTCTCTAGCTTTCTTCTTGGCATGTACCTCTTACATAGCCAATTGTCAGCAGAGATATCGCTTTGTCATGCACCCTCATTTCACACACACACACCCTTAAATTTCTGCAAAGTCATGTGGGTAAAGTTGCCACATGTTTTGCTTCATGGGAGGATGGTGTGCCCCAGTTGGGAGCTTCACAGAGGGCCTAGATAGTGTCTTGCTGTGATGAAAAAGGCAGTGTTGTGCCACCTTTTCCCCAACTTGGTGCCCTCCAGTTGTAGCCCAGTTGATGCTGGGCTACAACTCCCAGCATCCTCCATTAACAATGAGTGGCTAGGGGATGCTGGGAGTTGTAGTCCAAAATATATGGAGAGAACAAGGTTGTGAAATGCTATTCCTCATACTGCAGAATGTCTAGTAAGGTTAAGTGTATTAAAGCAGAACATTGGAGGGGGCATCAGAAGACAGTCTTCTATTTGACGGTGTCCTCAGTTTGAACAGCTATCCAGTCCAAGTCTGGCTTAAAGGCGAAGTAGCACAAGGCGAGAGCAAGCAGGGGGGCAGAAGTGTCCCATCAACAGGTAGTATCTGGGCAGGAACCAGCTATTTCTACACCTAGATTCAATGCAAATCCATGCCCTTATTTTGGGGATGCATATGTAGCTGCCCCAGCAGGGCTGCAGTGCATGGATGCTACAAGACCATGTTGCAGGGTTTAGTTCCCCCTGCTGGCTGTCGGCTGCAACTGCAGCCAGCAAAGTGGTCACACATGCTCATTTATTGCCAGTTCTTTCAAAGTAACTACCTTAACAGCCACAGTCTCTTAGGCAACACATATAGTTGCACTACGATGAATCTTTCCTCTGAGAAAAACTTAGTGGGCCATCTGATATCTGTTGTTCGGAGCCAGGAAAGACTTGCCTTGATTAGATTGGGAGACGTTTGTTTAATCTCCTCTGTAGTTTAGCTGCCAGAATGAGAAATTGAGGGACATCCGTTGTACTAGTATCATAATGAGGTACATTCACCCTTCCACTGTGCTGGGTAGAATATCCTGCACAGTAGCAGCAGGTGCATTTCAGCAATTATAATTCAAAATAGCATATTTTATACTTTAAATCTAACAAAACCATCTCTATTACTGTTCTGCTGGTGCATCAAAAGAATATAAGCAAGAACTGCAGGAACAAATCAGCTTTGCAACAATTGCAGCTTTACAAATCATCAAAACTTCCTGCAGGATTGCATCCTGACCCAGAAAAACTACATGCATGGCCAAAAGCGTTCATTCTTCAGGCTGCTACTTCATGTGTGAGCCACAGTTTCCTTGAGAACAATGAACTCAACAGCTGAAACTGATATTGCCTTCATACAGCAATTGTAGCCTACCTCATCCTCCACTGGGCCTAACTCAAGAAGACAAAGCTCCAATATACTTGGCAGTTAAGCAGGGATAATATAATTTTGGTGTTTATTGGCAAAAACATGTAGTCCAGCCATGCTGGGAGGGGCAGGAGGAGCAAACGAGCATGCTGTCCATTATGCAAGGCTGGCACTTTATGCTGGCCCTGCCCCTTGCTGCATCCTTTTCATCAGCTCCTCATCCTGCATTGAAAGCTCTGTCAATTTCTTGCCCATGCGCTCATGGATGTCCAAATACTTGGAGACGCAACGATCCAGGCACACAGACTCCCCCTTTGAGAGCTCAGCTTCCTTGTAGTGTGGGGGCACACACTTGCGATGGCAGGCATTGGTCATTCTGGGGTGGAACGAGAAAAGAAAAAGGATGAAAAAGCCATTGGGTTGTTCCAACTTTGGTTTCCGTTCATCTAAAGCAGAACACAGCACAGTTCTTACTCAAAGCCTTCATGTATACAACCAGCAGGGGAAATCCTATAGACCTCCAGATGTTGTTAGATTCCAATTCCTATCAGCTCAGATAGCATGGTCAGTGATCAATGATTATAATGCAAAACAACTTTGGAAGGGCCATGGGCTCACCACCCCGTTCTGCTCATCCTTCTCGCCCCTCTCGTAACTGTCAACAGTTGCTTGCGCTCCCAAAAAGGGTTTCCTTCGCTCAGTGGAGGGCTATTTCACCCGCAAGATTCTAAACTATTTCTCAAACAAGAACATGTCAGGTTACAATACTAACCGATTACATAACTAAATGAAACATTTTAAAAGTACCCCTGTTCATTTTGTGACACACAGTGCCAGATGTTCCTTAAGACAGAATAGTAGTACTTTTAAATGGGACTTGCTGCTTCCCAATTAGTTCTGGGCACATCTGAGTTGCTATGTCCAAGAAAACACACAGAGATTCAATTTACTTGGCTGTAATCCCTTGCACACTTAATTGCACATAAACCCCATTGAATTCAGCAGGATTAATTTTTGAATAAATGAGCACAGAATGCACATTTTCTAAGGTTAGCAAAATATGAATAAATATTTTCCCCCTACTGAAGACTGCACCAGCCAGAGTGCCTGCCTGACCTTTCTGTCTTACTTCATATGTAAAAATGATGCCTTGCAGCAAAAGGGCAGGTAGTTTCACTATAGGCTTCCAAAAGGGAAGGATTTCTTCAACCCATCCATGGAAGAATCGAGCAACATTGGAAGATATCAAGCCAAACTAGGAAACAATGGGATTTATATGATCTTTGTCTATTCTAACATGCATAAGCTGTTAAACCACTTCTAAATGTTAAGTTTCCACCATGATAGCAAGGAAAAATCGTCTCACATACCACCTTTCATGGGACCAATGTGTGTAAGAACAGCAGATGATCTTGTGACAGTACTAAGGCATCAGCTGTGGATAATAGTTTTCCAAGAAAAGAAAACAGGGACTCAATGGTATAAGGTGCAGATGCAATCAAGATATGCTAAAGATTGTAAAATATGGGGGTTTTATAAAGACCTAACAGCCTTTGATCAAGTGATGTTAAAAACAGATGAGAAAATGATTAAGAGAATTTATGAGTTCTTACTTGACAGGAAAATGGAAGGGGAACAGGTTAAGGAAACTATGATAACATGGGCACAAAATTTTGGATATAATATTGAATTAGAAAAGTGGCAAAAGCTATGGGAGAGAAATATTAAGGTAACTTTAGCAACCTCATATAAAGAAAATTTATATAAAATGTTTTATAGATGGTATTTGTCGCCAAATCGATTAGCTAAGATGTTTCCAAATACGTCAAACAGATGTTGGAAATGTAAACATGATGTGGGTACTTTTTACCATATGTGGTGGACTTGTGAATATGTGAAAAAGTATTGGAATAAAATACATAAATGGCTTGAGGAAATGCTACAAAAACCCTTACCTTTTAATCCTGAAATTTTCTTGTTAGGCATTGTACCGGAAAATATTAGCAAACAAGAAATGTATTTGATACTACATTTAATCACAGCGGCGAGGATTGCGCTAGCTCAGTACTGGAAGAGTGAGGAACTACCCACTGAGGAAATGATTTTAAAAAAGATTCTGGATTGTGCAGAAATGGACAGATTGACTCTATTATTGAAGGAGAAGGAAGATACTGACTTCTATCAAACTTGGGACCTTTTCTACGATTGGCTGGAGAAACGGGACTTGGCTTAGATTTAAAGATGTCTTCAAATTTTTATAAATCGATTTGAATACAATTATAGAATGTTTAAAAGATATGTTATAGGAGGCTGACCCAGTACGTCCGATGTATTTGATGATTGATCATTTTTTAGTTTTTAGTTTAAAATCTTAATAAAAAATGTGCAAAAAAAAGTTTTCCAAGGAAAGATGCTTGCAGCACCTTTAACCCTGTCCCTGTTGCTAACATCATACCCTTTGCAACCCAGTTCATAAATTGTACCAAAGGGCCAAAGCCAAGCAAACAGAAAGCCTCCTGCAGGAGTTCAGTTCCAGAAAAGGTTCTCTTCTGTCATTTCTCAATTCCACCTTCGACTTTCAAAGCCCTATCCCATCCTGTAAGCTCACTGAGGAGGGGCTCTATCAGCTAGAACATCTTCACAAGGAAAAGTTTGCTGGGGACTTTTTGATTTAGAAAAGAAATAAGTGAAGTAATAGAGCAACTTTTGGCATTCCGCATAATATTAGAACTCAAGGTCACCCAATGAAATTGATTGTTGGTAAGTTTGGAATGAACAAAAGGAAGTTTCACATAATACTTATAGTTTGTTGAAATCTCTGGCATACTGTATGGTAATGACTAAGGGATTAGACATACCCATAGAAGACAACTATTGACAATATCATCAGCCATTAGAGTTAAATGGAACCTCCAAGTCTGAGGCAAAGTACCTCTATCACAAGTGCAAGGATAAACAACAGAGGATTGTTGCTTGTGTGTCCTGCCTGTGAGTTACCTAATATGACTAGATAGAGCTCTGCAGTGATCCAAAAAGGCAATTTTAAATCTTATTCTATGTCAGCTTTCCCCAACCTTGTACCTCCAGATGCGTTGTCTGCACATCCCCCAACCAGTCAATACATGGGTTGTAGTCAAACACATGTAGAGGGCACCTGGTTGGGGAATGCTGTTTTACATCATGCATAATACCTAGTAAGCTAGTAGTACATTGTTTGGTGGAAAAATACATCCTAAGAAAAAGTCTTGGGCATTTGGAGCAAAAAAAGGTACAAATCACAGAAGACTCAACCCTACACACCCCTAGAACATCATATTTCTCTCCTGTTGGAGATGTAAAATATGAGTACCATTAAAGGGAGCCCTTGTTCCTGTGATTAGTCAATACCTGTTGTACATATCAGCCATCATCTCCACTTCCAGTTCAGCTGCCAGCTGCTGCGCCCGCAAAGGATCCATCCCACCTTCAAGTAGTTTCCCTTGATGCTGCTGAAGAAGGCAAATATAATGATCCTGCAACTTGCATGCCACTTGGCAGTACTTTTGAATCTTGTTTGGTTTTTCAATACCCAGGCCTAGTTCTGCCCCAGGAAGCAAAAGAAGGCAAACAAGCATAAGCCACTCCACAGCCCACCTCCAACCTTGCCTAACAGAGCAGTGCGGTAACAACAGGACACTTTCTTATTGTCCTGTCTTGACGGACAGAAGTGGGCACCTGTCTTGGATCTATGTAGATCTCCCCCGAAATCACCAGCACCGAGCTGTTGTTCCTTCTGGGGGATGGCGGGCGTATAGCGTGGGCAGGGAGCTAGGTAGTATTTGTTCATTTGCTATTCCAAAAATGGCACCCTTAACGAGCAGCCCTGCCCAAAGTTTCTCAGCCCGTGCTAAATCCCCAGTGTAGACACAAAAGCAAGGAAAGCAAATTCCCTCCTGTTCTCCCCGCGTCTCTGTGAGCTGTTCCACCCGTAAACTCCCATCACCGAAGAAATATTTCGCTCTACCACCAGCAACAACACTCACGTGCACCTTCAAGTATCCGGAAACACGAGGACGAGGCACTTCCGCCAGCATGACTTTCGTCCCACCTCCTTAAAGATTGACATAGAGACTTCCGGAAAAGAATAAGAGTGACTTTAAAACAGTAGCTGTTCTTCAGCGGGAGAGAAAGCCTCCAGCTGCACAGCTGGATGAGGCTGTGGGTACCGCACCCGAGACGCAGAGCCTCCCGCAAAGCTGGAGGGCATCCCCCATCTTTTTGGAGGACTAAAACCATAGAGTGCAGGGAGCTGAGAGTCGGAAGTTTGCCTGGACCACAGCCATAGAATTAAGAGGATGTGACCATAGAGAAGTAGGCGGCCCTGGGATAGAGAAGGGCCTTTGTTTGTCATAGGTTATGCCCTACTGTTTGGCAGGGACTTGTTATGAGGCATCCAGCAACTCCGGGGTTTTCTCAGCCATCCCAGGAATACATCATGGGGAGCAGGAAAAGGAAATGCAAGACGCCAGCTGCGCGGCAGCTTATAAATTGCCCCCGCTGGACGCCTCCACGTGTTACTGAATTCTCGTAGTAGCGTATTTCTTGCCCACCTTCCTGTAATGCAGTCTTCCACAACCTGATACCCTCAGGTGTGTTGCAGTACAATTCCTAGCTGATTGGGGGATGCTGGGAGTTGAAGGACACCAAGGTTGAGGAAAGCGGCTTTACAGATCAAGATCTGAGTGGGTGGATTACAAATCAGAATATATTGACTATGGCCAGGCAACAGGAAACAGTAGCAGCCACAAAAAGTATTATTTCTCCTCCACTCCTTTAGTCTGAGCATGGTGAAGAGCAATCCTATGGTTTAAAGCTGAAGTAAATTCCATTGTGTTCGGTAGGGCTTACTCCCAAGTAAGTAAGCCCTCTGCCATTACTCATGATTCTGGAATCTGCTTGGATGTGGTGCTGTTTATCAAGGTTGTAAAAGAATAAGTGTTCATAGAATTGCAGTAATTCAAAACTGAACTGTCTCTGCCTGGGGTTTCTGTGCACTTGAAGGCATATCATATTTCAGGATCATTCCGCGCTCTGAATTACGACTCTTTAGATACTTCAGTAGTCACAGAGACTAATGTTCAAACTCTAGTACCATCAAGAATTTGCTTACATGGGGAATTACATCAGTCTGACCGAATGGTTGTTGTGAGTGCAAATGAATTCTAATTTATTTTCTGAAAAGGAATTGTATGTTATTTTTAATAAGAATTATGGGTATGCAGTGTAGTTTTCATATTCCTACAACTGCAGCCTTTAAGGTCTATGGAATACAAAATAACAAGGTCCAACCAGTTTTGTGGACCTTAATTCTGAGTAAATATGCATAGGATCATACTGCATGTGTCATTGAACAGCAGGGCATTTTGAAAAGCAAATATTTAGAGCAACAGATTGTAAGCCTCTTTTTTTTCTTCCTTCCTGCACTCTCACCAAGCAAAGTGCAAGCTTTTCATCTACAGCTAACTGGGCAGTTAACTATAATCAGTGCCTTACAGTTATGCTAATTTTATTAGTGGGTTTAAAGAAAAAATTAACATGAAAGCTATAAACTAACACTTTTGAAAGCTATCTAAAAATGTTCCATCTGTCTCTTCAAGTGCAAAGTAGATGTTTTTGCTCTCCTACAGACTTTTGGCAGCCTGCCCAACAAAACCCCACACTGCATGTATGTGATAGTTCCCTGAGAAGAAACAGAGAGAGATATTAGTCACTGAATGCACAACTGGAAGAAGCCCAGGCATTTGGTGACGGGGGCCAAAAAGAGCAAGATCCAACAGAGCTAGCAAACATTTTTTGTCACATCTTATGTACTCTGTCCTGATGCTTTTGAAGGCAAATGAGGAAAGCTATGCTCCTGTTGCTCTAATCTGCTATCTACTTTTGCTATCCTATTCTAAAACTCTATATGGAAAATGTTTCTTTAGGCCCAATTAATGGCTCCTCTTGGTGAAAAAGGAACCCAGCATTTTAAATCTAAAATCACAAGCCACAATGCTTGGAAAACAATCATTATTGTTGGGATTATAAAACTGAACTGAGGGTTTTCTCCCTTCCTTCTATCCTGCTGCTTAGAAAAGGTGAGACTCACTTTGTGAAGAACTTTCTCTGTGTTTCTTCTGACCTTGCAAGTGGGCAAGAGCCTAAAGAGGACAGCTTGTCTGCCTGAGTATTTTATGAGGCTGTATACTTCTCTGCATTCTGAGCTTGATGTCAATCAATGCTGAGTGAAATTTGATTCTGCAATGGAGAGTGGAGTGTGGGCAGAAGCAGAGGCTGTGTTTACATGTTTTAGGAAGCACAGCCCTAAAATGGAACAAATATCCCCTTTAAAATTTAACAGGCTTGAATAAGTATGGGAACTCACATTGTGGGTGGGTATTTGGCCATTAAATTTGGAAGTGTGGACTAGGCTGGGCTACTCCTTGGTCTTGCTGCCTTTGTGTATTTTAGCTGGCACAAAAAGTGGTGCTGTATGAGGCATGGCCATTTGGGGATAGGGCCATTGTTTGGTGGCAGAGCACACACTTTGCATGCAGAAGTTCCCAGGTTCAGTTTCTAAAAGGTTCATTCCAAAGAACCTGCAGTAGCAAGTGATGGGAAATGGTCCCTTAGCAGGAGAGCAGCAAGCAGAGAGCACCGGACTGTTTGCCCAAATAGCCTGGCCCATTACACGACAATTTCCCGTGCTCTTGAGAGTTGCAACTAGATTGTAGTTTTGTTGATTCATACATAAATGACGCTGTGATGCTTCAAAATGTGGAGAATGTATAATCATGGACAATGATTTTCTGTCTGCTGTGTGTGCTAATTAGCTCAGTGATACTAAGATCACCAAATACTGGTGCTTTGGGCATTTGCTTATTTACCTACATTTAAATATGGGCTGTCCCTGGCTGTACTATTTTCATTTCATGACATTTGACTCCATTGTTGGCCTTCTTTTTTCCTTTGTACACATACATGTATCTATATGTACTACACACCTGCAAAGTGAAGATAAACTTCCCTGCATCTGATAAAGTGGACTTCAGTCCCTGAAAGATCGGGCCATAATAAATGTGTTATCCTCTGCAGTGTGGCCAGTGTGGCTCTTTCTTGGTTTTTGATTTGTCCTAAACATTAAAAAAATATGCAGGACCTCCCATAACACTGAAGTCTAACAAAAACCTTGCTGATAGGTGAAAGAAAGTAACCCTTACTGATAATCCAATGTGATAGCTATTTTGGTATAGGAAAATGCATGCATTGCTGCTAATTAGGAAGCAGTTACAAGAACCAGATGCATAAACAATTTAAGCCCTACAGATAACATGATGCAACAAAGAACTTCAGCATTTCAATGAAAGTAAATGCTTTCACCCAAGAGTTCCTGTTTATTTTGTTTTACTACCTATTACCCATATGCTCAGCACTTAGCAAGACACCTGTAAATGGTGGTTGTTCTGATAATAAATATGCATCCTAGATTTATATTGATTTAACAATAATTCTGTTTCCCCAGGGAACCATAGAAACTATATTTTTCTGAGACTAGGAGGAGGAGGAAGCCAGGATCACGAAGGATAATAACCAACATGTCCTGCTTAAAGTGGATCTATTGAAATACCTGGTGCTTAAGTTAGCCATGATCAGCTTAAGTCCCATTCATTACAATAGGTCTACACTAAATTGATTGTGTGTAGTGGTGCAATCCTCTATAAATTTAGACAGAGAAAAGCCCTATAACTCCCAGCATAACCCAGCCCTTTTCTGTCTAAACCTGTGTAGGATTGCACCCTAAGTATTTTCTGAGAGTCTTTGGGGAGACCATTAACAGTTAAACTGATGTAAACTTTTTATGATTTTCCTACAAACTGTTATTGGATTCTCCCTTGTTTTCACTCCTCTTTTGCCATTTTCAGACTGTAGTAAAATAGAAATCTGATCCACTGAGTGAGAAAAGCCAATGTTGGCAAGATGTAGTAATTTCCTTCTGTGCTTTAAGGTTATCTCAGTTCATGAAGCCACATGGACATAGGCAGCTTCAGTTCAGGTAAACTGTGGACAGACTGTCATTATTATTATTATTTATTATATTTCTATACCACCCATAGCCAAAGCTCTCTGGGTAGTTCACAACATTGAAGTCCCCCATCCAGATTCCAACCAGCCCTGACCCTGCTTAGCTTCCAAGAAGGAGCGTGATCAGGCCCTTCAAGCTACATGGAAGCTGTCGTTGCAGCCATTTTGTTCAGGCTGTTTTGACACCCAAGTGGCAAATTGACTCAGTTTTCCCTCCAGCTACTTGGAATCTGCTTGTTTTTGGACCAGTCACAGATCTGAAGCAAAAGGCATGGGTGATGTTTCTCGACAGTGAGCAACTATTTGGCTGGAGCCAAACTACATGTTTATATTTAGAGGCTGAGGAAACATTGTCATGCAGCAGCTTTTAGTGGCCTTATGTGTATTTATGTTGGTAAGTAATTTGAGCTTAGCCTTGTGTTGCCTTGTTACGTAACTAGTAACTAAAACACCTGCCATTTCTTTCCAGAAAATGTTTGCTGCCTGTCTTTGAGGAAGACTCATGCTTGAAAACTTTGGTCCCTCTGTATGTTTAGGACAACAGTCATCATGGAAAAAGAAGGAGGCCTCCCCTCTACCATACAAATGAAACAACTGGAAATCCAGTACCTTCTCCAGTCAGTTGAATGCTTTATCATTGGGATGATTGCTTAGAAAAATCGGAAAGGCAGATGAGAAGGCAGTAGAGGACAGTCACAAGGCATCAGAAAGGCCAGCATGGTAGGTAAAAAGTAAAAAAAAAATGGCTGAGAAGGTGATCAGGAGCACCTATATGTTTTCATTAGCAGCTCTGTCACTTATGCATCTCCTGGCCCTGTAACAACTCTAGGGGATAGAGCACCAGTAACAAATTAGCTTTCTGCTGCTGTAACAGATTGCCCTTCCTGAACAAAACAAAACAAGGCAAGACAAAACAAAACGTAGCTTGTGCAGAGGGGCCCAAGAGAAAATGCAATTTTTCATGGTAGGTTGCAAAATCTTCCAGTGCTGCTGCTAATGAGGAAGGGGCATGTGATAAGAATTCAGGGCAGCTTTCTCTAGGCCAGAGTGCAATCCTTCCTGCATACAACTCCAGCTTCCTGCCTCTGTCGGAGCACAGTCAGTTCCCGGTTTAGCCACCAGGTGTCAGAGCGGCTTCAAAAATTAAAAGCAGGGCAGTGGGAGGGATGGAGAACATGCCTTAGTGTTATCTGTGTTATGGTGAAGAGGTTAATCCCATAGTTTTCACCAGGTTTTCACTGTCACTCCAGGAAGACATTTTAAAATAGGCCTGCAAGGGAGGGAGGCCTGCAAGGGAGAGGATTCATTCAAGCCCAGGGTTTCTCTCAGCAAAGAGCTATCTCAGTTTAGTTCCCATAGCAATGTTTACAGGAAACATGCCCTGCCAGGCTATGAAACATGCAAAACCAAAAAAAAGAAAAAGAAAGATGGGGAGGGGGACATTATTTGTGTAGCTTGTGTTGCCAATGAAACATTCTTTGGCTCTCTGTCAGGAAGACCTTTTTGCCAAGGAAACTGGGCAGGACTGGATCCCTGGACTGGCTTTGAGCAGAATTGCACTCTGTTTTGTGCCTGTAGGCCCAAGTGTCCTATCAGGTTGCTAAGTATTGTCTGTGTAGTTCATTTGCCCTTTTATGGTAACTTTCGCTAACCTGCTGCTCTCCAGATGTTTTGGACTATTGTTGCCAATACCAGTCCAGAGGTTGCCAAGCTGGGGAAAGCAGCTCCCTGGGAATAAGGTGGTAAACTTTTAGCATACTCAGCCACAATTACGCTCTACTGAATTTTGGTGGGGCTTCTGAGCAGCATTTCGGGGTGGAAGGTCACTAGGCTTCCCTGACTCCCGACCTCAGGACAATCGACCTGGCTCAGACATTTGAGCAGAGGCCTCTTTGCTTTCCTGACATATCTACACACTGCTTTGCTTTGCTAAGCTGTTTTAGCACCTATGCAGGCTGCAGCCGAGGATCAGGGAAGCTCCCTGTTGCCTGACCCAGGTGGGGCAAGATCAGTGCTGGCTCCAGGCTTCCAAGGGCCCTTCAATATGACCACTTGATGAGCATTTTCACACTGTGAGTCTCCCCTCCAACCACCTTCTTCACCAGCTGCTACTGCTCTGTATCCTCTTTCTCACCATTGCTACCTTTGCTCTCTTGGGTACCACCCTATTCCAGATTTCCAGTCCCAAACATCAAAACAGAATCCCAGAGCCCATATTCCTGTTTGTATTCCTGCTGAGAAAAGATGTTTAAAAACTCCCTCACCTCTTAGGACTTTACATAGCTTACACTGCAATGCCATTCTCTGTTGCTGATAATTCCAGCAAGTTTGCAGCTGGCAGAGTCAAAATATTTTATCCCAAACATTCCTCCCCCCACGGTCAGTGTCTCCAAGAAGCAATCCATAGAATTTCAGGCTTCTTAGAGGCACCTCAGAAGACATAGTGTATTCGTAATGTTTTTAATCTTTGTAAACCACCCTGAGAGTTTCAGTCTGCTATGGAGCAGCATAGAAATGTAATAAACGAAAAATTAAATGAAATGTCTTCCCTCCCCTCCCCAGAGGCACCAACAAACGGATTTTCTCTGGTTTCTTTCAGTACAGTCCAGGGCTGCTCAGAGGCGGTTGGCATCCCTTCTGGAAGGAAGCAACCCCTCTCCACCTTGCCCTGGCTCCTTCCGGCCCTTCTGAGAAGTAGGGCCTGTGATTGAAAGAGACACCTGTTGGCCTCCCGATAAAAATAGGAGCATCTAGTTACCCATCACAGTTGGGAGGGTGGGTTTATCAACAGAGTAGTAAACAATGAAGGAAGTGCTGCAGCGGGCACAGCACGGGGGGGGTGGGGAAGGCGAGCTGAGAAGAGGCCCAGAGAAGGCAGTGCAAGGAAGAGGCAGTGGGCGAGACTGAAGGAAAGAACCAGCCGTCCAGTAGGTGCAGCTGCCTTTCCCCACCAGCACTTGTCCACAGGGGCTCACGTTCAAGAGGCTTGTGTACATACGTGTCAAGGTAGGTGATTACTCCCCGAATGTGCAGGGCCAGACTGCTGCTGAGGCACATTCAGGCCCCACATAGTCCCAGGTGGGACTCTTGGGCACTGCAGAGAGGGGCAGTGGCGGGAGGAAAAGCCTCTCTCTGAGTGTGCAGGAGTAGTTTCCGGTGCTCTCCTGGGGGATCCAGCAGTGGAACAAGTTGTAAGGAGGAGGAATGGGCAAGGCTCAAAAGACAGGCAGCTGATGTGGGACTGCTTAGCGTTTCTTCCAGTGAGGCTCTTGGAGTCCTCCCACCATCCGAGGGGTGGCAGGGGGTGGCCCATGAAAGGGCCTTTTCAGTGGTAGCTCCCTGACTTCTCTCTGCAGAGATGCTCACCTGGTGTCCACTTTTGATGACAGCTCAGCAGCAGACATTCAAGCTTTTTGTTTTTCTTGGCTTCCCTGGCAATCATGTTCCTGCTGATTGCTTTTACAGTGTTGCTTTAAATCGTGCTGCCTTCAGAGTTTTGTTTTAGATTGCTTTTAGTGTTGTAGTGGTTTTGTCACTGGGGAGAGGGGAATTGATTGAAGCAGAGTATGCATCCCTAAAATACAGAACAGTAAAATAAATGCAATATTAGGGTTGCTAGAGACATGAAGGCCTGCAGGGCAGTGTGGAGGGGGAGGAAGGATGGGAACAGGAAAAATGGAGGGGAAATCATTAAACCCTTTTTCCCTCAGGGAGTTTCAGAAAACTTGGAGAAAAAGCAATTTCCCCCACATTTTTCTGGTTTTATTTTGGGTCAGCCCCCCCCTTCCCCACAAGCTTTCTTATCCATAAGAGTTGCCTTCATTTGCATGGGTGAAAGTATGACAAGTTTGTTTTTTAACTATGACTAACAGGCAGAAATTCCACAGGTGAAGTTTCTGGCAGCGAGATATTCAACTGCACCTGTAGCTATGGTGTAATGCTTGATGGCATAAAATCTCTGTCTGTTAAAAATGGTAACCCTGGAGAGGCTGCTAGAGAAGGAGAAGCAGCAAGGGCTGTTTTGTGGCTCTCAGGGTTATACTCTGGGACACATCTCTTGCTTTAATGTTAAATGCATTAGCCACAGAGCCCTAAACTGTTCCTTCAAAATCCATACACACGTACCAGCATGCCAAAGAAATTCTATTGTCCTTACTACATGTATGTGAAGGGTAGGTATGTGGAGACCAGGCATAAGGAAATCCCACTGTGCTCAATGGGGCGGACTCCCAGGAAAGTATGCGCAGGATTATAGTCTGGATTATCTGTTTAAAGCAGGGGTGCAGAACCTCAGGCCCAGGGACCAAACAGGGCTGTGCCAGGGTCCCATTCTGGCCCTGATACCGTGCCCCCGCCCCCAATTCCCTGGGTCCCCTTCTCCAACCTCTGATTGTTCATCTTCCTACTTTCTGCCAAGTTCTTTACCCACTGTAAAAAAAGCTGACATGCCTCTCCAAAGGCTTCGGCACTGGCAGTAGGAGCCTCAGCTCAGAATATGTTGGTGTTCTTGCCCAGCCTTCAGCTCCAGACATCTTTGGAGTACAGCCCCTGAGAGCATCTCCAAAATGGACTTTGGCCCTTAGTGTTGAAAGAGGTTCAATGCCTTTGTGTAAAATGAAGTGAAGTGAAATGGAAAATGTCTGGCCTAGGGCAAGGGCTATCTAGAGAAGTAGGGAGCTGAATTTGACTAGATTGGGTCTCCTGTGTTGGTCCTTTCTGGCCTGGAGGGCAGCACGCACCAAGAACCCCCTCAAAATCTTGGTGGACTCACATTCCACAGCCACCACCCTGCACGGCACTTCACATTTGCGCATGGGAGAGGGGAGCAGAAGGTCCACATCTCCTCCCTCTCCAGCAGGATGAGGCTGAAATTGAAGTGTCTGAACTGATGGTCAAGGCCAGGCAACTTATATTTTGCTGTCCCACCTCCTTAGCAATGGGAAGTTGCGGACCACTTTCATTTGATGAAAACGAGCACTGATTTTACAAGGTGTCTGCAAAAGACTTGTCAGCCTGCGAAGCTTCAGCATGGAAGGCAGCAACCAGTAGAGGCCGGGCGAATCTAGGCAAAACCGAAGCCGGCCCCAGTGCCCAGGAATTCCAGGGCCTGCTGCAACGTCCAGTTCAAACAATGGCTAACAGCCCCATCTGTGTTTCATTTCTAGGAATATGTTCAGACTCTCTGTGACTAAATCACCTCTACAGGCTAGAAGAGTTTCTTTTCCCCAGTGGAGTGGCCCTGTCTTCCTTGTTTCTCGTTTCTAATCTACTCAAGTTTCTCCCATCACTCTGTGGATTCTGCCACTAAAGAGCAACCGCTCTGAGCACAGGGCAATGGTTATGCTGTAATGACAGCAGATTTAGTCTGGTGCTCACAAGGGCTAGAGTTAACTTTATGGAGATGCTAGTAATACCCTTCCCACCAGACTGGGTCCCCATATCTGAGGAACCACAAGCCATTCTGAAGCCAGCAGGGATTATTTATTTATCTATTATTTATCAATTAAATTTATCAAACACCTCATAAAACCATTTTCTAAGTGTTTTTCGGTAATAATAAAAATAGATACAAACCACTGTAAAATTAACAATATAGAACATAACTAAAACAGCATAACAGTATAATGTCACATTGCCAGGACCAGGGTAATGAACAACATAAGATAAAGTACAAAAATATGTGTTACTAAAATGTGTTACTAAAAAAATAAAAGCCTGGGAGAACAGGAAAGATAACAGTGTGGGTGTCAGTCAAGTTTTCCTTGAGGGACCATTCCAGAGCTGGGGGCTACCACCAAGAAAGTCATCTCTCTTGTTGCCACCTTCCCAGCCTCCGAGCAGGAGGAAGGACTTGAAGAAGCATTTCTCTGGATTACTTTAAAGGTTCTTCAGTCCAAGGATTTAGAATGCCACTGAATTATGTGTGCATCTGTGGCGCAGGGTAGAGAGCCTGTGGCCCTCCAAGTGTCGTTGGACTCCAGCTTCCCATCAGCAGCCACAGCCAAGTCAGAGAAGATGGGGGCTGTAGTCCAACCAGTTCTGGAAAGCAACAGGTTCTCCACTCATAGTACAGGGAATTAAAGTGCAAGCAGGGATGCGAAGCTGAGGCTGAGAGAAACATGCCAAACCAGAAGAAGGCAAAGATTATGGAGATGATGAACTAGAAGAGTGTCGATATTTGGGAGAGGCCAAAAGAAGTACGTTGTTGCTTGCCAGGTATTCCCTTCAAATTACTAACATACCTTTATTGGGCAAAGTGCACTCAGCCGTCCCCCTTAACTTGCAACTCCCCGTTCCTCTTTTTTCTCATTTTCTGTATAAGAAGGGCCTTCTCAGAAAGTAACAGAAAGTCTTACTAGATTCCATAGGACAGGTAAGTCAGGGTAGGATCACAGCTTTAGAAAGATGTTGGGTGGGGGCGGCTACAGAGCCACCCGGGGCTCAAGCGTCCTAGGCATCCGGCCTCCACGATGCTCGCAAATGTCAGGGGCATATTTTTAGCAGGTGACAGGGCAGTTCACCTGCCCCTTCTCCCCGTAATTGCCAATTGCACGTTTCAAGCCTGAGTCACTGGCTGTTCCTGGCATTTGTCAGCAGGTTTTATTTAAGGGTGATTTACTAAGTGACGAGGAAGGAGAGCAACGGACTCACACACAGCTTTAAAAGATCTCTCTTCTGTTTCAATAAGTTGCTGCCTTAAAAGGTACTAGGCAGGGCTGGTCCTACCATTAGGCAGTGGGAGGCGCAGAGCCATGATAAGAAAGCAACGCCTTAGCTGTTTAATAGAGCGTTATGGGTTTTTTACAGTTATGGAGAGTAGAAAGGTGCTGGTGGGATTTGCTACCGCCAGTGCCCAGATGAATTGCTTGGGGTCCCTTGACCTGGATGGAGACATTGGCCACTCTAACATACTAGACCAACTGTGATGCCGGGCTTGCACTAGATTCCCCTACTGAGTTAAGCCTTCTCTTTGGCTCTGCCTGCCTCCAAGGAAAGAAGCCTGGACAGATGCCTGCATTGGAGAGACAGACTTTGTACCGAGCCGTGCTTTGAGCTGTCTCTTAACCCTGACCTCCCAGCTATGCCGTTTCCTTTGCAAGTGGGCAGAGGACAGCTGGATGTTCATGCGTGTGGTCAAGAGATGATCGTGCTGCTATTCTAAAATGCCCTGGTGTTTCACATTTCCTTTCTGCTGAAAAACTAGGTCCTACCAGCTTGCGATGGGGGCAGCATAAATTTTTTTAAATAAATAAATAAATAGTTGCAACATTGCTGAGGGGCAAAGAAACTGAAAGCAGTCTCAAACAGGACATAACACTGTTTTTTCACTGCATGGGGTATGATTTACCTTCTTAGGTGATTATCATCATGGCAGGGCTCCCCATGTGGCTGAACTCTTGATGAAGCTTGGCATTTCTATCGCTCTTAAGAGTACTTATCTCACGCATGATCAGAGCATCCCTGTTACCTTTGATGTCCTGAAGATCAGCAGGCATACCCCAAGGGAGGTTCCTCTTGCCCCAGAGGCGACAATTGGGAGTGTGTCCCTACAGATATTGTGTGACTGCGATGCCCAATCTTTCACCATTGGCTGTGCTGGCTAGGGCTGATGGTAGTAGCCATCCAGGAATAGCTGGAGGGTCACAGGTGCATCTGTATCAATTGATGACTCAAACGAATATGCCATCAGTTTGCCCAGTGCATTTTAATGGAGCCATTTCACACCTTTGGCTGCAAGTTAATGTTGCCCGTGCAGCTAGGGAAGATTAATAGTTGTTACCAGTCAGTAAAAGGAGTGGATGCTTTTAGCACTCTGGTTTTCTCACTTTATTCCTTGCCCTTTGTATTTCAGAACTGGAGCTAGAAAAGGCCACTTGCTTCATACTGCACTGAGAAAACAGGAGCGTGTCATGATGGAGGCTGAAACCAGCAAGAAGCAAGAGGGGCAAGAGCAGAAAGAGTCAGGAGATGCCCAGCCTGCACCAAAGGGAGAGAGTGAGGCTGGGAAAACAGGGGCTGCTGAGAAGGAGGCCCATGCAGAGGGGGAAGCTGGGAAAACGGAGGCTGCTGGGAAGGAGGTCCATGCAGAGGGGGAAGCTGGGAAAACGGAGGCTGCTGGGAAGGAGGCCCATGCAGAGGGGGAAGCTGGGAAAACAGAGGCTGTTGCAAATGAGGTTACAAGTGACAATGAACCAACAAGAAAGGCTTTGGGAGCTGAGGAAGTGCAGGGAACTGAGACAGTGGAGAAAGGGAAGGAAGGTGGAGAAGGTGAACAGGTAGAGACTGAGGAGAGAGTGGCTGTGGGTCCCTCTGGAACTGAGGCCAAGGAAGAAGGAAAAGATTCTGGAACATCAGAAGAACAGCAGAAAGGAGAAGGAGGGAAAGCTGATGCTTCAGAGGAACATACCAGCACTTCCAGTAGAGAGGTGGGAGCACTGTGTGCTTCAGTGCATGGTTCTTCATCTTTTTTGGAGTGCCATATTTGCAGTCATAGATCTGCAAATATGCTCATTGCTCTCTTTGGCTCTGTGAATAGATAAACAAAATGCTTCCATCTGCCCCAATTGTGTGCATCTCACCCCATCCCACACTCACCAACTGCATTTAGATTGCAGGCCAGCTTCTTTTCTGTTTACACATGTAGGCACACACATCCATGTTAAGCCATTCAGGGTGCAGCCCTGTGCATGTTTAGGCAGAAAAAATGCCCACAACTCCCAGCATTCTCCAGCTGGCAGGAAATTGTGACACTCGTATGTCTAAATATGCATAGGACTATGTCTTTAGAGGGGAAGATTCATTTTTGGTCCGTCACATCTGTTTGCCTTTTAGGTGCTGCAAGACTTTTTATTTTTAAAGTAAGGCATCACTCCCAGTACTAATGGGGCAGGAGGAGCTGTCGGTTTCTGAGCTACAAAGCTAAATGCATGAATTGCAAGGCTGATTTTAGAGGGAGGGAATGCAATATTTATGTATTGTGCACATTTGTGTAATGCCTTGTTTGCTAAAAAGTCATCAAGGTGGTACACAGTGGTTTAAAACGTTAACACAAATTGTGCAGATACACTTGTGTAAGCCAGCAGTTTCTGTCACCTTTATTTGGATGTGCCTCCTTTGTGCGCACACTTCATGTATCATAATAGGAGTCCAAGCACTAAGGTTCAAACAGTTTTAGGGAAACTCGGAGGATTCAGATGAGAATACATTCAGAAAAGGGTAAATAAGGAGGAAAGCTGCTTTGAAGTATTTTTATTCTGCCCAAGAAGCTCCCAGAGCAGCTTATGTACATACACTCAGACAAAATAGTTGCTGCTTTCATGCTTGCAACCCAAAAAACATGACACAAAAGGAAATAGTAAAGGGGAGGGAAGAGTAAGAAATACATTCTTTTAGCAGGGCAGGTAGAAAGTCCCTGCTCTCCTTCTCATCTCCCTTGGCTCCGCCTGCTGCCGTGGGTCCTGGCTGAGGGAAAAGGAGCCTTCATAAGAGAGCAGGGCTAGTGGAATGGGCTTGTTCTCCCTTGTGTTTGCGTGCCGGAAGGCCCTCCTGCTACACTACAACATGGATAATTCCTATGGCTCGGCTAATTTATAGGATGTTTACAAGAAGCTATCACAGATGGCCTTGAGGCTACAGGTAAAGCCAAGTTTGATTTGCCCCTCCTCTCACATGCATGCAGGGCCGAACTGACAGCACTTCAGATGAGCCTCTCTCACCCGGGCCAGAAGAAGAGGAGGAGGAGGAGTATTGGCCAGAATTTCCTCCCAGTTCTCCTGGTGAGAGCCCACAAAGCCCTACAGAGTTGAAAACTTTGGAAACAGGTGAGGAAGCTATGAATCAGCACATTGAGAATTTAATGGTAGTTCAAAAAGCATTAGAAATCATTGCTGGATTTCAGTAAATTCTTGAATTATTGTGTAAAACAATTCCTGGCATAGAATCTGGCACCTGGCACTGCATCCTGAGAAAAGTACCTTTCATTGTGCACACAGAAAAAGCATGTTTCTATCCAGAGATAGAACTTGTAACACAAAGAAGCTCCGTTTCCTGAATCTTGGAAGGCCCTATTTGCCCTCCCGTGCCCCCCTGGGGTGGCTTTCCTCATATTTCTCCAACAGCAGCACAGCCTGGGAATGGGGCCTTGCCTGTTCTGTGCAAAGAGATAGTAAAATCTGGGAAATGTTCAGTCACAGCCAGTTCCCCTCTGTGTACCTCATTTCTACGTCATTCCAAGCAAGTGACGTTTTTTAACTGTTACACTCTCTGTGATTCTACATAGGTGGCACCACCTCAGGCCCAGCTGCTCCCGAAGCTGGCACCGGGGACACTGCCAGGTGAGACAGCAGCCCGCACTGGGCAGGTGGGCGGTGGCAGCCCTCAGCACTGGGCTGGAAGCACACAGTCAACCAGCACTGATGGTGGGGGCAGAGACGGGACAATGCGCAGTGGCTTTGCCATGTCTCTCCTGCTGCCAGAAAGAGAGGTCAAAACAGTCATCAACCCCAGAATAGTTCCTATTAAAACAGTGAGATCCGACTGCATCAGAAGATGCTTTAAAATTGCAGAAATACACCTGATTCAGCACAGCAAACAACGCAACTGTGAGGCTGCTCCATGGGTCACTTCATGCTTTGCTTGGACCAAGGACTGGTGCTTCAGAGGAGAAGGATGGGAACCTGGCCCCATAAAGGGCAGAGGCTTGAGATCTGAGGGCAACAGTGAATCACAGCAATGAGCTACATACAGCCTTCCCCAGAGCTGGAAGCCAACAAGACTGGCAGGCACTACACAGAGTGCTCACACAACTCTTTATTTGGCCATCATCTCTGCCTTTCCTCCGTTCCAAGAGCCATTGGCCTGGCTCACTTACACACAATTTAACTCTTGGTTTGTTTATCTGCCCAGGGCTTGTTTGACAGCTGATTGGATATACCATGGTCTGCCTCACTTCTTCTTTGTCCCCTCCATCCCTTTGTCCCCAGAATGCCTTTGTGGAGCCGCAGTACTAGCTCATAGAAGGTGGAGGGTTATTTAGCATTCTTATCTACCACCTCTGTAGCATGGTGATGAAACAACCCAGGAACAGCCAGTGGTTCTGGGTTTGCATGTAATGACCATCCATGGTTTAAATAATACAGAATTTACAGCCCAAAAAAGAAACTCTGCAATTTTTTCTGGGTTGTTTGTGGTTTAATAAATCATGGTTTGTTACCAAGATCAGGTTCACACATCATGTTAATGCAGAATTCAGCAGTCCAAATGTGGCTTAGCATTGTGTGAAAACTGTCAGTGTATCAAAAGATGTAGCACATGTCTAGTTTTCCTGCTGCCTCCTCATCCAATGTTCCTCTTACCTGTATCTGCTGTGGGTTTTGTTCTCAGCAGTGAGGCAGCCCCAAAAGGGAATCAGGAGCAACAGCCTGCACCCGAGGAAGCAGCTGCCAAGGAGAAAAAGAAGAGGCCCACCTTTGACAGAAGAGAGCTAACCAGGCCACGCATGCCACCCAGAGTTCAATCCCGCAAGGCTATTGTGGAAAAGTTTGGAGGGTAAGCCGGTGTCTGCCCCTTTGCTGAAACTTTGAATCTTCTGTTTCTTTTTCTCCCTTTCCTCACTGTCCTGCAGAAAACATGCTCCACAACCTTTGCATCCTTCTGCCCGAGTGTACATACAGTACCCGGCATCACTGGGTGAGTGCCAGGGTCCCAGTGCTTTGGCAGGGCCCCTACCCAGCACCCACTTTAACCCCCCCTCTTTTTTCCCCCTAGCCTGGTCCTTCAAGCAGCATCAGGTGGATGGTCTAGCCACCCTTTTAATTTTCCACAAATAGCACTGTGGAAAATTTTTCTGCAGTTATGTAGTTCATGGATTATTCTAGGGTTATCTGAGGGTGTTTTCACCATCAAATAACCCATAGTGTCTGGGTGCACATGATATGACTGGCCATAGCCTGCACCTTCAGAAAAGAGGCCAGTGCACTTCTTGGAGCTCTGCAAATGAATTGACTGACATTGGCTTGGTGCAACATGCAACAAACAAGCAAACGAACGAACACCCCATCTCAAGCCCAGAGCTGGCCTTGACAACAAGGTTTCTCTTGGCAAGGTGGGCAAATAGACTGATCCCAGCCAGGTGGATCTCTCTCCCAGGTGCTGTCCAACAGAAACAAATGAGAAGAACTGAACTAAATCAGCTGAGTCCCAGGTGATCTGTGGATTCCTGAGAAGCATGCCCTGCCATCCCTTCTCACTCTCGCTCTCTCTCTCCGCCTCCCTCCCTCTCCTCTCCTCTCCTCTCCCTCCTGCAATCCTTCTCCCCTCAAAGTGCTGCCACTGGTCCTGCCCCCAACATCAAGAGGACAGGCGGTGCAAATACCGTGAAGAACATGCTGCTGGAGTGGTGTCGGGCCAAGACACGTGGCTATGAAGTAAGGCATTGACATGACCCGTGGCAAGGGAAACTCACTCAACACACACTCCTTCACAAGGGCCCCCCGATTCGCGCCCCTGCTCTTGCCATGGGGGAGACACGTGGGCTGGGTTCACACGTCACGACAAGCAGCGCTGCCTGGTTTCGGTGGTGTGCCTGTTTTGCCTGGATGTGCCTGACGGACGATCAAGCAGTTTCTATGGGAGTGCAGTTTCCACCCTTCTTGTTCAGTCCTCCTGCAGTTGGCACCTGTCCCATCAGCCGCTGTACCTGAAATTCAATCCCACACTGGATGCCTACAGCTGCTGCTTCTCTTTCCAAGGCATTCTGTGGTAGCTGCATTTCAGGAGAGCTGAAATCACGATGCCAGGCTCACAGACCAAAGAGAGCATGGTGGAGCGTGGAAACCACAGAGCAGGCCCCTGATTTTTATTGTGGTTTCTAAAAACCAAATGGGCTGTGCTGAAATACCACTGCAGGGTTTGGATGACATAGACATATGAGGAATCATCCTGCACAAGAAACCACTGTGGCTTGTTATGCCATGTGAACCACCATTCACTTCCCTGGTGGGTGTAGGATAGCCTTGTTAATGGAACTGGAGACTGGCTCGTGTAGGTGACCTCTGGGGACATTAAGGCCTCACTTCCATGCACATTCCACATGGGAGTTAGCGCCACCAAACTTGGTGCGATTTACTTCTGGACAAATGCACAAAGAAATGGACTTTCTGACTGGAAAGGTTCTACCATCCAGGGTGAAAGAGCATGGTCTCCCACTGATCAGCACTACTCTGCCGGTCAGGTGCTCCCACCAACCTGTCTGGAGTGGCTTGATCTTCTTTGGCTTGTAACTTGCAGAAATCACCGTGCACAGTTCTAGGCCCCATTGTCTTCTGTGTTCCTCGCCCCAGTGTAGGTAACTCACTGTACACAGGTGAGTTGTTAACAATGGCAAGGCTTGAATGGAGGCTGGTGCCCCGTAGCAGTTCCTGGGTTTTTTGCATGGTTATCAGGAAGTTCTTGTTTCAAAGCTCACACTATCCAGGCACTATGCTTTACCCTTACTCTTCCTTCTCTTGCTCAATATTGAACCATAAGAACAACAACAAAATTACCATTAATATTATTATTAATCATCATCATTAATGCATTTCAGAGATTTCTGGGACATCCTTCAGTAAAACTGTAGGGCAGTGTGCAGTAGAAGAAAAATGCATACAATTTTAAAACATGAAAGAGACATTATTAATATGACAGTTAGTTGACTATGTTAATTGCAGTATAGGAAAGCAATCGGCATCAGGTTTACAGCAAAGGAAGGCTAAATCTCTCCTCCCAGAATACTGCAGCCCACGCACCCTTGGAATTTACTATCTAGAAGAAAACAAAAAACAAAACTTTAAGCTTTACACAGCATTGCAGCCGACATGTTTAACATCACATGCAGTTTGGTCCCAAATGGATGAACAGAGAGTGTTTTGGACATGCTACAACACTTGGCTCAACAATACTGCAAATGGGAAGGCTCTCGGGGCAGTTGAGGATCCCAAGCTAAATATGAGCCAAAATGTGATGCAGCTGCAAAAAGGGCAAGTGTTATTTTGGGCTGCACTCACAGAAACATCACTTCCAAAACATGTGAATTACTAGTTCCACTGTATTCAGCATTAGTCAGACCTCACCTGGATGACTGTGTCCAGTTCGGTGCACCTAAGTTTTAAAAAGATGCGGAAAAGCTAAAGAGGGTACAGAGGAGAGTGACAAGGATGATTCAGGGACTGGAGGCAAAGCCCTATGAAGAAAGATGGAAAGAACAAGACATGTTCAGCTTCAAGAAGAGAAGACTGAGGGGTTGGTTATATGATAATACTCAACAAGTCCCTGAAAGGCTGTCACAAAGAAGAAGGACAGGATCTCATTCATTCCGGCATATAGGACACAGATTAATGGACTTGAGTTAAAAGAAACCAGATTGAGACTAAACACCAGGAAGAATTTCCTCACTGTCAGAGCAGTGCAACAATGGAACCCATTACCTGGGGAAGTGGTGGGCTCTCCCTCACTGGAGACATTCAAAAAGTGTCTGGACAGCCATCTGAGTGGGATGGTGTGACCTGGTGTCCTGCAATAGCAGGGGGTTGGACCCGATGGCCTTCTGGCCCCTTCCAACTCTACTGTTCTAGGATTCTAAATGTTGGCTTACATTCACCTACACACTGGATTATAATTGTGTGGAAACAGGATGCCCTTCAGGCTGTGTTGATACTATCTGCATGTCTAGCACCCTCAGATATATTTCACAATTCCTCAGAAGAGTAAAACTCTCCCTCTCCCTCTCCCTCTCCCTCTCCCTCTCCCTCTCCCACACACACAGAGAGAGAGAGAATCAGAACAGTGCAGTCTCACTAAGCACAAGCAACAGATGAAAGGAAACATGTAAACCAAAGCTGTGATCCTCCTGCTCCAAAAGTGGCAGGCACAATGTCTGATTCATGGAATTTCTAGCCACTTTTTAAAAACATATAAACACAGCCTGTTCTATCACAACTCTGTTTTACTGGAATATTCTAACTAATGTGGCTGAGTGGAGTTGTAGGGTCCCAGGTTGTACAGGGTTCCAGGTTGGGGGAAGCTGTTCTGGATCAGTATTTTAACGCAGAGAAATTGGACTTGTCGTTCAAGTTCAATTAAATTGTTCCATAAACTGTTAAATCTGGGCTTCAGTGTCAAAATGGTAATTTTAAAAATCCTTGCCACTGATTGGAAAGGTGACAGAGTCATCTGAAATGTTATTTGGCTTTAAAATGGTTTGCTGGACACTCAGCCATCATTTTAGTCATAATCCTTGATGTTATATGCTTTGCTAATCAGACAGATTATTTTGTACATTGCAGAGTTAGCAGCTGCTTCACTTACCCAGGAGTACTGCAGTCTTTTTAAAAGGTCAGGAAATCTGCCTTTCCCCACCAGTGTAGTTTTACATATCATACCATCATGGGCCACAGCAGTTCCAGGTACAGTGCAGGCAGGTGTGTGTTCACACATCTCAAATCAGCCTGGTTTGTTTGTTTGTTTGTTTGTTTATATTGAGATTTATATCCTGCCTTTTTCCTACAAAGGGCTCAAGGCAGCTTACATCATCTCTCCTCCTCCATCTTATCCCCACAACAACAACCCTGTGAGGTAGGTTGGGCTGAGAGTCTGTGACTGGCCCAAAGTCACCCAGTTGGCTCCATGGCTGAGCGGGGACTAGAATCCAGAACGTCTGAGTCCCAATCCCATGCTCTTAACCACTACGCCACACTGGCTTGGGTTGAAAGCTAAAATATCAATGCAATACTGGTCAGCCATGGCTGCTGGGGATGATGAGAGCTATAGTCTCTCATCATCCCTCATGAGAGCTATAACATATGTGGAGGGCACTATGTGCATGAAATCTGGTTTGGATGTTCATCTTCCCTCTTAGTCTGAACACGCACCTGATGGCTTGGGATGCGGTTCCCCTTCCCTTAGCCCAAGGGTGTTGACTCTCCTCCCAAGGGCCATATTCGTTTTGGAGGTGCCCTCAGGGGTCACATGCCCATAGTGGTTGGAGCCAAAGGCAAAGTGGGCCCAGACCAAAGGACAAGCACAGCTGAGCTTAAAGTTCTTACTTCCAGCAACAAGCCTCAGGAGAGACATTTCAGAATAGGAAAAAACCTGCATAAGAGCTGGGAAATTACTAAAAAAATTACCTACCTAAAGGGTAGGTAACCAGCTGAACGGGATGGTCATCTGGAGAAACCTGGAGGATCAGGTTCAACCTCTGAGCTTGAGCTTTGGCCGCACTGCCTTAGCCCAACATAATTTGCAGCATTCTTGCAAAGATTCAACCAGTATGCAAGCAATGCCACGCAAATGATGCAGTACTACCAATGGCAAATCCAGCTTGTAGGTTCTACAGATGTGGGATCTACAAAATTTTAAAACTGGACGTACTATTGGTGGCCATTGTCTTTTGTTGCAGAGATGAAACTGAGGTTGCTGCACGCCCATGAGCCAAAGAGGCTTAGTGGAAAGAAATGATGCCAAAAGTGACAACAGTCAGTCGTGCAGAAAAGCAGTGCGAACTGGCTTCTAGCAGTCAGCGCCTTTTGCCGGTGCAGTGTGTGTGTTTATGTAAGAGGAAGCACTGGGAGAGCGGGCAGGAGAACCTCTTCTTGCTAACGGCCCTTTTTCTCATTGCCAGCATGTGGACATCCAGAACTTCTCCACCAGCTGGAGCAGCGGCATGGCCTTTTGCGCCCTCATCCACAAGTTCTTCCCAGATGCCTTTGATTACGCAGCTCTCGACCCGGCCAATCGTAGGGAGAACTTTGCCCTGGCTTTCTCCACTGCCGAGTGAGCACTCCCTCCATTCCAAGACTGCAGGGCTCTCCCCCCACAGGGCAGGTTAGGTGGGGTACCTACTGATCCACACCTTTGCACAACAGCCCTGCCATTTGCTACTCTAAATGTGTATAGTTACAGGTACAGCAACCCTGGGGGGGCCATGGGATTCTTTGGATACCCAGATCGGAGGTTGAAAGCACAGCTCAGACCTTGGAGCAGGGAATATGAAGTCTGATCCCCTTCCCTCTCCCCTTACAACAGGCATGGAAAGACCCAAACTAGCCACTTCTCCAAGGTTAGGAAATCAATCTCAGAGAGAAGCAAAGGAGAGGAGGAGCCTGGGGCTACCAGGACACAAGGCATCCTTGTGGCACTCAGGCCTCCTTCCCTCCCTGTCCAAGCACTGCAGCCAGCTTGCCGGAATCGGCCGTCTTGCTGGCTTGTAGAGTGGGAAGAACAAGGAGGTGGAGATCGTCTCCTGCCGCCCTGCAAAGGATGTCCATCAGCCTCAGAATTCAGAGGCTTAAAAGCACTGACAGCACAGGCTGTTGGAGTGTACCCTTGTTGAAATAAATTTCACCCCCCTCATGGCAGCTTACATAAAATAACATTAATAACCATTCAAAATTGTGTGAAATAATTGTGCCTACCCCTGGTTTAGAGGGCATTCCCCTTTCACTCTGAGCTGATTCCCCAAAGTGGGGCTCCTCTGTTTTGGAGTGGTACGGAGGGCGTTGCTAGAGAGGTGCCCCACAAGATCAGTGAGGCTGGGGCAACAGGTATCCAGCTAACCTGACTGCTCTGTGACCACTCTTCCCAGGCAGAAGGCCGACTGCGCACAGCTTCTGGAGGTGGATGACATGGTGCGCATGAAGGTTCCCGACAACAAATGCATCTACACCTACATCCAGGAACTTTACCGCAGCCTGGTGGCGAAAGGGCTAGTGAAAACCAAGCAGAAATAAGAAAGGAAGGCAGGATTATGCTCAAGGCCGACTAGAACCTGGAGGGAAGCTTGGTGGACAGGTGAGGGGGAGCATCATGGGTTTGCACACCCAGGGAGGGTACTCTGAAGATCCGTCTTTTGTGGCAGATGGTATCCGACAGGGCTGAGGGCAAGGTGGGGGTCTCACTCTTGCTCAGTTGTGATGAATTTCAGGGCAGTCTCTGGCGGAGTTCTGCAAATAGCAGCAGTAGAGCCTTGCAGGATTTTTCAGCTGCATAAGTGGAATGCACAAACAGCTACACAAGCGGTTGCTCAAATGTAGTGTGTGGCCATACCTTGAATGGGATTCTCTTGTGCACACACACTTGCACAACTAGTTTCTGCTGGCGCAGTGTCATTGGCACTAACAGAACGGTGCGGTTGGATGCTATCAAGTTTAGTCACCATTTTTGTGCCACACACCTCAGTTTCAGTTCGAAACACCCAAAGGGGTTTATGCATTGCGATTTAAAACATTCAGGGAGGGATATAAAAGAGTATAAAGCTCTGTGTAGTGTGAAGAAAGTGGCTAGGAAGACCTTCTTCCTTTCTCACGATATTAGAACTCGGGCTCTTCCAGGAAAGCTGAATGCTGAGAGATGCAGGACAGATAAAAGGGAAAAGCAAAGCATATTAATTTGTTTTTACTCTGTTTTGAAGTTTTAGTTTTTTATATTAATGTTTTCTCATGTTGCATTTGAGGGTCTAATTTTTTGTGAACCGCCCACAGAATGTTGGCTACTGGACAGTACAGAAACATAAATAAAAATGGAGTCAAAGAAACTACGGAATTTCCCATCCCAAAATGTCATGATGGCCAGTCACACAGGTCCGAAACAGGTGGAGGACAGGAGGACAGGGCTCACACCTGCTAGTAGCCATGCTGGATATGTGCTACTTCCAGGGTACCACACGCCCAGCACTTGCTGAACAGCAACAGTGGGAAGATGTGCTGCCCTCCCTGTAGGCATCTCATTTGGACTTCTTGACTGGCCGCTGTGAACAGACTGCTGGCTAAACCAGGTTTTGATCTGATCCAGCAGGATACTGGGCTCGTACACAGTGCGCAGGCTCATCCTAGGCTGCTCCTGGTGAAGCCTGCAGTCTGTGCCAAGTCCTTTGGTGTGCCAAGTCTTTTGGTGTTCCTGGTGAAGCCTGCAGTGCCTTTGGCCACTCCTCACAACTTGATGACTCACCTGAAGTGCTTGGGAATGATGCCCACAGAAGAATGGGCTGACCAAAACAGTTGCTGCTGTTGGAAGCAAGCAAGATGGCGGGCTCGGGAAGCGTTCCCACCAGATACGCCCCATGCCAGTTTTGCAGATTCCGCTTCTGATTCAGAAGAGGAATATTTAGATAGGATTGAAGAGGAGGACTTTGCTCAAGGCACAGCAATTCAGGTGATTAGTTCAAGGGCAGATGAAGGGGCAGAGATGAAGAGATCGTCTCTAGGAACAATATGGAGTTACAAGAAGTGGGAGGGGCCATTGAGACTGGGGAATCTTCGACTGGAGATCAGCCACTCTCCTCTGAGATACCCCTGTTGTGAGGTAGCAACAGCAGTGAGAGGTGCAATTGGCTGAGACGTGTGGAGAAAAGGTGCGTGTTTTCTCAGCATACTTCCCCAAGGGTCGAGTCACATGAGTTTTGGGAAATAATCACCAGGTTGGGGTCAACAAACCCCTTTGTGCATGCTCAGAGACTTGACTGGATGATTTATGTGTAGAAACATTAGAGTTCTGCTGAGAGCAGCTTGAGGCTGGTGATAGTCGGAGAGAGGAAACACAGCTCGAAACAGTCGCATATCTCAAAATTCCCCTCACACGCACTCTCCCCTCCATTTTGGGCTGTCAGCACAAGAGGCAAGAAGGGAGCAGGATGTGATGTCCGGCCATGGTGATAGGGGTGCTAAAGCCAGCATAACTGGGGAGACATCTGCACTGGGGGGCAGGGTGAAGGTTCAGTTGTTCAGGCCTGTGAGGATTTTGGCGGTCTCACAGCGGCATGTTGGAAGGCTGCTGCAATAGTGGTTTGTGGGTGGCCGTGCACGGGGGTGTGGGGAGCGGGGCTGGCAAGTAGTGGAAGCAGGGCACATTGCTAACCACAAGTTCAACAACTGGACCCTTCCCTCATCAGCATGTCTTTGTGGGGTGGGAAGCCGCCACACTGCATCGGATTTGCCAGTAAGCCTGGCCTTCCAGACGTCCTTTCTCTAGAAATCACAGCAGAATCTGGGAGGTGGTACCTGGAATCTTCTTGCTTTGCTTCTGCACTGACTGAATGGATACAGAGAGTTCCCATTCAGGATTCTCCTTTTTTTCCTTTTCAGGGAGAAGGCAACATGGGACATACCCAGGTAATTCTGGATATGCTAGAATTCTGTTACCGCATTGGATCAACTCATAGTGGGTTATCTTCTCTAACACTAAAGTCTGCTACACAGAGACTTTTTGCTGGTGAGCTCTTGAGATGTGCAGGAGCACCCCCCCCCCGCCCCAAATAATCTTTCATACAAATACTACCCATAATGTTTGGCCATCTTGCTTCCACGAAAGCAGAACTAGCACCATGTGTCTGTCTGAAGAAGGCATAACTTGGAACAAGCAAGTCACTCCTGCAGTTATTACCTTCAATTCCACACCGTTCTCTTGGTAAATCCTCTTCCATGCTGCAGTCACACTTCTCCTTACGGAACACCAGATCCATTAAAACAAAACTGTATCAAGTCGTAGCAGCTCTATTGTATTGTGTTTCGACAAACTACAGTGTGACTACTGCTTAACACACTAGTGATGAAACTATCAGAAAAACAGTATAGACAGCTATCTTTACCATGATCTACCCAACAAATGATCAAGTGGTTTCTATGTTATGGTGGTTTTTATCCCCCCTGCTCAAGTCTTCCTGCTGTTGGCATGTATCCCGTCAGCCACTGCAGCTGCAATTCAGTTGCATCATTCCTTGCCTGTGCTGCCCACCTATTCCTCATTGGTCCACACACAGCGCTGGGTGGCTGATGCAGCTCCTGCGGTTGCCACTCATTCCCTCTACCACATGGACTCTGTGAAAGCTGCACACCAGGACCATGGATATCATGATCTTGGGTTCAGACAATACAAGCAGCCATGAAGTATGGAGAAATCATGGAATGAAGTGTTGTTGGTTATCACAATTTCTAAAGACCAAAATTATTATGATGCTATACCATGACTAGGTTCAGACAATGTAACAGACCAAGACAGGTAAAAAATAACCGTGGTTTGTCATATTGTCTGAACCCAGCCAGTGTGTGCACCCCCATCCTTTTCAGTTTATGATAAAAGGCTGGGAAAAATCCAACAGTGATGCTTTAGATATGGAATAATGCTAGCCCATCTCAAGGCAGGGGCTTGAGTTTAACAATCTATTCTGTCTGCAGCAAGCCAGGGTTTGGGTAAAAGCACATGGAATAAATTAAGAAGCTGACAAAACACTATGATAGGTGGGTTGTGGATGCATCCTACCCTTCCACTCACCACTTTTACTTTTTGAATTAGCTAAGAAATGTGATAAATTAATATATTCAAGTTCCCAATAGTCAAAGCTCTCAGGACAGTTTTCAAAACACCTTAACATTTTAAGCCTTGAACCAATGGTAAGTGAATACTACGGGCTCCTCCATTATTTTACTCAAACTGCTGACACTTCGGTCTATAAAATTAAGTATAATTCTTCCACAAACCTGGTTCTCAGTAACAAGTGCAAGCAGATGGTTCATGAGATGCACCTTCTTGTCAATGAAAAAAGGAGCCATACTGAGAGAAATGGAAATCTCTGGAAAGTGGCAAAATGGCTAATGAATATGTTCTGCTACCAAATGTCTCAAGAAAGAAGACTAAACATTCATGTCTACGCAGAAATCCCCCTAAGGCCCGATGTGTGTGCGAGTGGCTGGGCTTATTCATGTGTGAATGGACGGCACTCCAGGTTGCTTCAGACATTCTGGATCGGGTCCCTGTATTGAAGACAGATTCGAAGGTTATAGTCTGGTGATTCCCAGATTCCATTAAGGCGCAGGACACCTTAATAAAGTGTGAGACTCATTATTGGCATTACATTGTACTTCTTTCCTGAATCTTCTTGCAACTGTATAAATTGCAATTCTGTATCCTGATACCTACATGATGAGGCCAAGAGCATTCTCACAGAAGTTCTTGGCTGGTAAAGATCATTTTATTTTATCAATATGGGTCAGGTAAGCATAGCAGTGTAGAGAGCTGGTCTGAGAAAGATCAGCTGCCATGGAGATATTTAGGCACAGACAGAAGCCTTTATTATGAGTTATATTTATATACCCCATTTATCTTTTCCATTTTTGCCAAAAAGCCATCAAGACAGTGCACAACAATTCAAAGCAATAAAATCATAAAACCATAAAACACAAGCTCTTAAACTGCATAATTTAAAAGGTTCATTTAGTAGACGATTACTCAAATCTATGTAGAACAGAAAGAGTCACAGTCCGATACATGTCACTCAGGGTCCCATATTAGTCATCAGGACTCCCTTTCACATAACTGCACTGGGCTGTAGCCTCAGACTGTGCTCCTGACTAGACTTACTAGGAAATACTAAACTGAGAAGGCCTTATTTTCAAATAAACATGCTTCACAACAAGCTAAGTTCTTAGTCAAAGCAAAGCAAAGGATGTTCTTTATGCCTTGACCCCAATTCCTGCCTTTTCTCAAGAATGTTAACTGAGGAAGGTTGTAAAATGCAAGGCAAAGGCATAAGAACAAATGTGATGGAGGAGAGAGAAAACAGATGATCATGTCCCTCCCAAAGAGGAAGCCTTACATTATAAAATTGCACCAATCCACTAGCGAGGACCCTGAATCCCATGTGCCCCCAGAACCTTGGCATTGCTTCCTGTAAGATGCAGCATGAGTCTCAGAATCACCTGTAAAGAGCCAGAGCAATCCAGAATTCCACTGTATAATGTTGCTTCATTAATAGGCAACTGTGGGAGTGGATGGTTTAGTACAGGGGTCCTCAAACTTTTTAAACGGGGCCAGTTCACTGTCCCTCAGATTGTTGGAGGGCTGGACTACAGTTTGAAAAAAAGAATGAATGAATTCCTATGCACACTGCACATTAAAATTAATTAAAATTAAAAAATTAAAATTAAAATTAAAACAAAATTAAAAAAATAATTAAAAATTTAAAAATGTTTGCTCCACTCGCTTGGGCTGCAGAAGAAGCCCAAGATGAGGTGAGGAAGAGCATATCCATATTCAAGGGACATATACAATGTCCACAATCATGCTGGGGGGTGGGGGGGAGACGGGTATGATTGTGCTGGTGGGGGAAGACCGACGAGATTGCGCTCGTGCAAGGAAGACGGGTGCAATCCCAGGTGCAGTCATGCAGGGAAGGCGGGTGCGATCGCGAACATCTCCCCCCCCCCCACATGACCACAATCACACTCGTCTTCCCTACATGAGCGTGACCATGGCCATCTCCCCCCACCCCACACGATAGTGCAGGGAAGAAGGGCGATCACGGGTGCGCTCATGCAGGGAAGGCGGGTGCAATCACGGCCATCTCCCCCCCCCCCCCCCCCATGACCACAAGCATGCCCATCTTCCCTGCACAAGCACGACCGTGGCCATCTCTCCACTGAGTACGCATCCAGAGGCTCAGAGCTTTTGGACTCACTCGGAGATCGTTTTCTCGAAGTGAGTCCAAAACCTCTGAGGTGGGCTGGATAAATGGGCATTGCAGGCAAGATCTAGCCCTTGGGCCGTAGTTTGAGGACCCCTGGTTTAGTATGACATGACTACTATCCCACCAGGGCTGTCCATCAATAGTAAGTTCTCTATCCAAGTCCTGAAAAAAGCAGAGAAGTTAGCTAGGCAGGTCTTTCACACGGCCGCTTCTCACTGAATTGGCAGGTATGCTCTTCTGCATTGGACAGGAATCGCTCATAATCCTCAGTGAACTCCCTGGCCAACTCAGGACGCATTGGCTGCTCTGGTTTAGGTGTGTTCACCAGTGATATCAGTTCTTGGATCACTAAGGAAAAGGGCAGGAAGGTCAGAAACAGGTATAACTTAACACCTTGAAGCAGAGAAAAAAAGAAGCACTAAAAGGGGCAACCTGTAACACACCAGATGCCTTGGCACATCACTCTCCATCAGCTATGTTGGCCACAGAGGATGGGAGCTGTACAGCAAAACATCTGGAGGGCCAAAAGCTGCTCATCCCTGTCACCAGCAAAAGGTTCCGTCCCCACACACCCTGGAATCCCACCCTCTGTCCTACCTTGGTCTGCCTTTGTAAAAGGGCTCCATTTCGTGGCACTGATGAGTGGAAGGCACACTTCACCAATCTCATTCACGTTGGGGTGGTAGATTTTAGTCTTAAAAGTTACCGTGGGGGCCTTGAAAGGATACTCAGATGGAAAGCTGATCTCAATTTGGAATGCACCTTTATTGTATGGAGGGTTATCCTAGGACCAACGACAAAAACAGATGCAAGTCATAGTAAGATGCTAGAGAAAAGCACAGCAAAAAATTTAAACCCCATGGAGATGCTCATGTTCTGCTTTTAGGAACATCATGGAGCATTTATGTGCCTCAAGTGGAAAAATCTATCCTCCCACAATAAATTAACTAATAAAAGGAAATTCTTCACACAGTGCATGGTTATAAATTTGCTACCAAAAATGTCATAATGGTCACCATTCTGAAGGCTTTAAAAGGGTACTGGCCAAATTCATGGAGGATGAAGCTATTAAGGGCTTCTAGTCTTGATGGCAAAATGCAACCTCCGGTATCAGAGGCAGAATGGCTATGTACACCAGCTGTTGGGAGACACTGGGTGGGAGAGAGACATAAGAAGAGTCATGGTGGATCAGGCCAGGATCCATCAAGTCCAGAATTCTGCCAGCCAGCTGCCTAGAAGAACCCGCACATAGGATGAGAGTGCAACAGCACCCTCCATCCTACCCATGTTCCCCAGCTAGGCACACTGCCTCTGACTCTAGAGCAAGCATACAGGCATTGGGAGTAGTGGCCACTGAGAGCCTTATTCTCCATGAATTTGTTCAGTTCCCTTTAAATACCATCCAAACTGGAGCCAATCCCTATCACTGCATCTTGTGGAAATTGCACTCATGTTCTGCTTCTGGGTGGATGGCCACTGCGAGAACAGAAGGCAGGACAAGATGGGCCCTCAGTCTGACCTGCTAGAGCTCTTCTTTTGTGCTTATGCATCACTGCCGTTTGATGATACACCAAAAACGTTGCCAGGGGCAGCCATCTCACTCTGCCTAACACCCAGGATATCCTGTTCAACACACCATGATACCCATTTGACTTTAAGCCTGTTCAGTTCCTGCCATTTTCCCAGCTTCTCCAAACTTACCGGCACTAAAAGCCCCTTCCAGAGGAGGATATTATTAGGATCTGCCTCAATATCTTGGACACAGCGCAGCCTTGACTTCTTAATTGCATCAAGCTCCTAAAATGACAAAAGGTGTGAGTTAGATAGAGGTCATAGAATCATAGAATGGTAGAGTTGGAAGGGCCATGAAGGCCACCGGGTCCAGTCCCTGCTGTTGCAGGACACCAATTTGCACCATCCCACTCAGATGGCTGCCCAGGTTCTTTCTGAATGTCCCTAGTGTGGGAGAGCCCAGCACCTCTCTGGGCAGCTGGTTCCACTGTCATATTGCTTAGACAGTAGGAAACTTTTCCTGATATCTAGCCAAAATCTGGGTTTTCACAGTCTGATTATTCCATGTCCTACACTCTGGTATCAGTGGGAAGAGATCTTGACCGTCCTCTTTGTGACAGCCTTTGAAGTACTTATAGAGGGATAACATGTCTCCCCACAGTCTTCTCAAGGCTAAACATGCCCAGTTAGCTCAGTCTCTCCTCACAGGGCAGTGTTTCCAAACCCTGTATCATTTTTGTTGCTCTCCTCTGGACCCTTTCTAATTTTTCTTGAATCTTGGTGCCCAGAACTGGACACAGTATTCCAGATGGGGTCTGACTAGTGAGGAGTACAGGAAAACTACTACTTCTTGTGATTTGGAAGTAATACTTCCATTAATGCATCACAAAATAGCATTTGCCCTTTTTTTGCAACTGCATCACATTGTTGGCTCATATTTAACCTGTTGTCCACAGGTTAAATATGAGCCAACAAAGCCTTTTCCTTTTTCAGTTCGTTTGAGCCACACATTCACCTTCTTGCATTGATGCATTTGGTTTCTTTTTTCTAGGTGGAGGACTTGGAATTTGTCCCTGTTGAATCTCATTCTGTTCCTTTCAACCCAGTGTTCAAGTTTATCAAGATTGCCCTGGATCTTCACTCTGTCTTCTATGGTGTTTGCTATTCCCCCCAGTTTTGTATTATCTGCAAATTTTATTATTTTTCCTTGAACTTCCTCATCGAAATCATTAATAAAGGTGTTGAAGAGCACTGGGGCCAGGACTGAACCTGTGGCACCCCACAAGTTACCTTCCTCCAGTTTGAGACGGTGTCATTCATGAGCACTCTCTGTCCAATTTAGCAGCCCATTTTGGATCCACCTAATAGTTTTTCTATCTAGTCAACTTGTTGCTAATTTGCTTATCAGAATGTCATGGGGCACTATGTTCAAAGCTTTGCTGAAGTCTAGGTAGAGTTTGTCCACAGTCTTCCCTCTGTCCATTTGGGAGGTTACCCAGTCAAAAAAATGGGATTAAATTAGTCTGACAGGGTTTCTTTTTGATGAATCCCTGTTGGCTTCTATTAATCACTGCATTTTCTTTAAGAGGCTTGCAGACTGATTTTTTAATAATTTTCTCCAGAATTTTTCCAGGGGTTGATGTCAGACTAGATGGTCTGTAGCTCTCACATTCATCATTCTTTTTGAAGACAGGGACAACACTAGCCCTTCTGTTTTCCAAGATTTACCAAAGAGAATAGCCAGTGGTTCCTCCACTCATTCTTTTATGATTCTGGGATGGAGTTCATCAGGTCCTGGAGATTTGAACATGTTTATTCCATCCAGGTATTCCTTGACCATTTGTCTGTCAATCTTGGGCTGCCATCATTCACTTTCACCTTGTACTTCCTCTTGGTTGTAGATTTTGTGGGAGAAAACTGAAGACAAAGTAGGAACTGAGCGCCTCCGCCATTTCCTTGTCATCTACAATCACTCTGCCATCCACTTTAAGTAGCTGGATACCTTTCTCTTTCACACGTCTTTTGTTTTGGTTGTACCTGAAGAAGGCTTCTTGTTGTTCTTAGCATCCCTTGCTATTCTCAGCTCACTTTCTGCTTTAGCCTTCTTGATGCCATCCCTGCAATTCCTTGCTATTTGTCTAGATCCTTCCTTTGCGGCCTGGCCCTGCTTCCACTTCCTGTAATGTTCTTTTTTTTTTCTTTCAGGTTGTCACTTAACTTTTTGTTGAGCCACATGGGCTCCCTCTGCTGTCTCACCCATTGCTGAGACAATGTTTTTAAACCAGGGCATGCTCACTTAATTTATATTGTTTTATAGGATGTTATTTATTTATGTTTGTGAGCCGCCTCGGGGCTTCGGCGAATGGGGCCGCATAGAAGTTCCCTAAATAAAACAAACAAATAAATAAATAAATGCAGCTAGCCCGGCCTTCCTGAACCCGGTGCCTCCAGTTGTGCAGGGCTACAACTCGCATCATCTACGACCGATAGTCATGTTGACTGGGGGTGATGGGAGCTGTAGTCCAATATGTCTGGAGAGCTTCAAGTTGGGGAAGGTTGGGCTACACTAAATAATGCTCCCAGCCACAGGAATGCTTGTGTGGGTTTATCATCTTAACCTTTCTCTTGATGGCCATTCCTTAGCATGGAGAGAGGCTGTCCTCAGACGTTATGCTAAATTTCGGTTCGTTACATGGGGAACATGCCAAGCCGACTGTCTGGCTGCAAGGCTCTTCCCCTAGGGGAGACTGGAAACATGCACTTCCAATTGAAATTAACCACAGTTTAGCATTACATCCAACTCTTCAACCATGGTTAATCCTAACTATGATTTATTGAAATAACCCCTGGTATAGCTAACCAGTTTGTCAGGTTTGGGTGATACAAGCCACACTTATTCAAAAGCAGAAGAGAAAGTTTCTAAACAGCTCCTCACAGCTACACTGGAAGAAAATGGAGGGTGTGATTGCTGAAGAGTTCCCATCTATAGGAACAATATACCATGGCTTATTGTGCGAACGGAATCCAGCTCTGCTTATGTATACCAGTTACTTGCAGGATGGTGCTTGGACCCTGGTCAGGTCCAGCGTGGCTCTTACGTTCTTATGAATAAAACTGCCACTGAACACCTTCATGCTTTTCTTCTCCCATGTAGCCATAAGGAATGGAGAGGAAATCTACCCTCCAGATGTTACTGGACTACAGCTCCCAGCATCCCTGATCATCAACCATTTTGGCTGGGCCTGATGGAAGCTGGAGTCCAAGGACATCTGGTATATCATAAGTTCCCCAGCCTGTCACTGACTCGCCACCTCCATCTATCAAGGAGACAGGGACTCAGTTGTCCGAACACTTTGCACAGGATCCGTCTTTGTCTAATTTACAACTTGTAACTCAGTTATAGTCATCAACTTGATTTTCCCTGTCATTCCCTGGCTTCCAAAAAAATGGCAAAATGTTAATTTCCGCTATCAGAACTGCTCCAAAAGGGAGAGACTTTTCCTGACTTGGTCCTATTTATTCAGTGGGCATGGCACATTAAGCCACCTAAGTTACACAGTGACTGGGTTCCCACGAATGCTGGGCCACCACAGCACTGAAGCCACAGCAGCTTCAAAAGTTGTCTGAAGCCAGCATCTCCCTGTGTGGGACAGCTTCTTTGCAGCTAGGATACCACCCAACAAGCCATGGTTTGTTGTAGCGTTTTGTAAGCACCCTGGGCTTGTTGTGTTGTCCAGATGCAGATGGCACAACAAGCCCAGGTGAAGCCCTAAAGCCTGCAAAGCTTCTTAGCAGGATGGCAGACCGTCTTGCCCCTCTTGCCAAGTGGGACTTTGGGCAGCTGTTGTTCACTCCTCTGCTGCCGCACACCTCCTCCCCAAGCCCCGCTCGGGGCACGAGGGGCTGGCACACAGCTCGGCCTCCCCTGTCACTCGCCACGGCAGCTGCCCTTTCAGGCTGGCAGGGACAGCAGGGAAAAGGCTCGCCAGCCACCCTCCACCACGGCCAGCCCTTTTGACCAGGTGCACTCATAGGTAGTGCCCATCACTCCAGTCAGCTTGCGAAACCCACTCCCCTCCACTGCTGTCAAGCGGCAAGGGGCAACCCTGTGCTGGCCCCTGGAACACTTGCAGCGGGACTGAGGAGCACGGGGAAGATGTGTCAAGACCCCCGCAGTACCCAAGCATCTGCTGGGCACGTTGTTTAAACTGCACAGCTTCCTACATAGTGTGGTGCCCATCTGCCCAGTGCGGCTGTTCACAGAACAAGCCACAGCCTGTCCAATGACTGATCAGGCTCACTTTCATTAATTTTCCCCCGCCTTCTCCCTCGAGTCCCTCAGCTGGTATTTTATTTTCTTATTATATTTACAGTCCATCTTCCACAGAACTCAACACAGCTAACATAATTCTCTCTCAATCTCATCCTCACAACAACAACCCTGTGAAGTAGGTTAGGCTTAGAGTCTGACTGACACAGGAGGTCCTTGAGGCCCCATCAGTGAGGATGTTCACAGATAGGCTGGACATGCACATGGTGGGTATGTTGTGAGCGGAGCCGGCTGGATCTGGGGGTCAGACTAGATGACCTGGGAGACCCTTCTGACTTGCTCTGTTTCTATGTTTCTGTGCCCCAAAGTAACCCCATGAGCTCCATGGCTGAGTGGGATGCTAGCGCCCAGATGGCCCAAGTCCCAGTCCCACCCTCTTCACTGCACTGCCTCCCACCAGAACCCCTCCACTCTCCCCTTCCCCTCTCTGATTGCTACCCCTTTTTCTTTGTCAGCAGGCTTGGGGGATTTTTCTTAGAAGTTTCAAAAAAGTGTAATTGGGGTTGGGAGGCCTTGCCTTTCAGCTACATGGGGTAAAATGAATAGTGCCCCATTTGGGTGTGGTTATAGCTGGCACCCCTTTGCTCCATCCTCTTCTGCCAGTTCAACATTTGGTCCTTTTAAAAACGTCCGGAACAGTTTCACATTTTGAGAGCTGGGAAAGATATGAACATGCAATGTATGGTTGGGAGGTAAATGAATGGGAAGTTTCTACACTTCCAGTAACTGCTCAATTACTGCAGGCGCCTAAAGTTTCCATCCTTTTATTTCCCTGCTATTAAATGTGCGTATGTTTTGTACGGTCCCAACAAACTTCCACTGGCAACTTGTAACAACAGGCAGATCTATTCTCTCTTATTTTGGGGTTTTCCTCTGTCACACACCACCAGACAGTCGGGAAATAGCTTCACTCTTTAGTGCCTTTTCCTTTCCTTTCATTTCCCCGGCAAAATGGCAAGCTAGCAAGAACAGAAACTGAAAGTAACTCTGAGGCGCCAGCCTCCTCCGAAGCGCAGGGACGCATTCGCCGCCGCGCTGCCTCCTGTTGTCCAGGCCAGGCATGCCCTTCAAACAAACCAAGAGAATGTACAGCTTCACTTTTAAAGCCGAAGGCCAGTTAAGGATTCAGAGTTATAAAACTAGTACAAGTCATGTATTACATTGGGGCTTTCAGAAGAAGCAGTTTATTAAGGTGGGTCGTGAGAGATGTCTGCCTATTCCACAATAATTGATAAACTAAGTGCAGGACTATCCATCTATAGCAATCGTTATCCAGGAAAGGTGCACCTCGAAATTCACTGCCCGTTTTCCACCCCTCCATTAGAAAACACAACCTCTTTAAAAGATTACTGTTGTTGTGGGTTAGGTATTAGTGAAAGACACGCCATACACGCCAAGTCACAGTATTACATATATATTCTAAGGCTGAAGCCTGCTCTTCCCCCACCCCAGTTGCTATTGCAATGCCTTCAGGAGGTAGATATTCAACTGGTGAAGCGTCGCTAATCTAGTTAGAGACACTTCCCCTCCAACTAGCGGTCCGTGGCAAGAGTCCTGCTACCTGATCCTAGCACAGAAACGTTCCGGAGTCATCCCCGGCATTACCCACCAAGCCAAGGTACGCCTTACAGTGGCTAAGGGTCACTCGTGCGGCAGATGCAACTCTTCCCCGAGCATTCCTTCCCCCTCTCCCCGCCCATCAGAGGCTGCCGGAAAACGAAGCAAAGAACCCAGCTGCGCAGAACCTCCGGGGCTCCTGAAACTCGCCCGCCACCCTGCCTACCTTCGCCACTCTCCGGATCGTCCCCGCCATCCTTGCGCCAGAACGGGCAGCCGCGGCTCGCCAAGCAGGCTGCGATCGAGGCCACGCCCACCGGCTCGGCTGGCCGCGGCCCGCCCCGCGCAGAGGCGGGCCAAGAAGGGGCGCTTCTCCTGCGCGGCGGAGGAGCGGCTCCTCTCCTCCTCCTCTCTGGGACGGTCTTCCTCAGCCTGGAGAGTTCGATCCGTGCTTGGATCCACGATGGCGCCCTGAAGGAAGGGCCCGCTCCAGCGTGTGCCTGAGCACATTAGCACAGCCACCCCTTGATAACGTTTAGAGTGCAAGCCTATGCGTGATTAGATAGGGAAAAAACCTATAATTCCCAGTATTCCTCAGAATAAAAGCCCTTCTTCTGCTTAAGCACACATAGGTTGGCATTTTTAGCCAGTCATTTGCAGCTGCTAATTTCGAAGTACCTTAAGCCTCCCTGATCGGCTTCGGGATGACGGGAGCTATAGTCCAGAGCTTGGGGTGTATGCTGCTGGTGAAAGGGAAAGGAGAAAGTGCAAAAGCAGGACTGCAGCTGGAAATTAGGAAAACAACGATAATGACTACAGAAGAATTTATTTATTTATTTATTTATTTCGATTTATTTTAAGAATTTATTTATTTATTTATTTCGATTTTATTTTAAGAATTACACAACTTTCCCATCAACAATGAAGAAATTCTAATTGCGGAAGATTTGGCATAAGTTGGCACAATCGTCACGTCAAAGGGAGACTGCAGGCAAGAAATTCGAAGAAGACTGAGACTTGGCAGGGCAGCAATGAAGGAACTGGAAAAGATGTTCATGTATAAGGACATTCTGCTGGAGATCGAGGCCACGATCATCCACACTATTGTATTACAAATCAGTCTGTGGGCGTGACAGCTGGACAGTGGAGAAAGCTGGCAGGAAGAAAATTAATACATTCAAAACGTGGTGCTGGAGGACAGCTTTGTGAATACTCTGGACTGATGGACAAATGGATCCTAGAGTAATCAAGCCAGAACTTTCCCCGGAAGCGAAAATGACAACAGTGAAGCTCGCATACTTTAGACACATCGTGAGATGGCACGACTCATGAGAAGGCAATAATGGCAGGGAAAGTTGGGGGCAGAAGAAGAGGACGAAGACCCAATACAAGTTGAAACAATTCCATAAAGCAAACCAGAGCCTTGTGTTAACAAGAGCTGAGCTGACCTGAGCTGTCAAGGACAGGACCTTCTGGAATGACTTCATTCCGATGATTCCCTTATGTTGCAGGCAGCCTGATGCCACATATCCACACAAAACATTTTTATTTCAGTCTGTTTTCATTCATTTTTTCAATTCCAGTGTTTGCTTTAATTTTTAGTATACATTTTAAGGGAAGTGTATGAAAATTGATTTTATATATCATTATGCTTTGTTTCAGAATCCTACATCATTTTTTAGAAACATAGAAACAGAGCAAGTCAGAAAGGACCTCCTGGGCCATCTAGTCTGACCCCCGGCTCCAGCCGGCTCTGCTCACAACATGCCCACCATGCACATTTCCAGCCTATCATTGAACACTCTCACAGATGGGACCTCAACGACCTCCCGTGGAAGCCCATTCCACACCCTCGGGGTCCTGACTGTCAGTAAGTGCTTCCTGGCATCTAAATGGAACCTAGATTCCCTGAGCTTTGCTCCGTTGGAGCGCGTCCTGCCTTCCTCTGCAGGGGAGAACAGGTCTCGACCCATCTCCATGTGACATCCCCTCACATACCTGTATGTCGCCAACAGATCCCCTCTGAGTCTCCTCTTCTCCAGGCTGAAGAGGCCCATTTCCCTCAGTCTCACCTCATACGGCATCCCCTGCAAACTGGCCACCAACCTTGTGGCCCTACGCTGCACCGACTCTAACCTGGCTATATCCTTCCTGTAATGAGGGGCCCAAAACTGAGCACAATACTCCAGTTGCAAGCTCACTAGAGTCATATAACAGTGTTAGTAATACCTCTCTCTATCCAGAAGCCACACTTCTCACTATGCAATCAAGGGTGGCGTTCGCCCTCTTGACCACCACATAACACTGCTGACTCATGTTTAGCCTGCAGTCAACCAGCACCCCGAGGTCCCTTTCACAAGTGCTGCTCTCCAGCCACTTGTCACCTAACCTGTACTTATGACACCTATTCCTATGCAAGACCTTGCACTTATTCACATTGAACGCCATCCTGTTGTCTCCTGCCCACTTCCATAATCTGTCCAGATTCTTTTGGATCTGGAGTACCTGCTCCTCAGTTGTGGCCACTGCTCCAGTTTTAGTTTATTTATTTATTTATTTATTTATTTATTTAAACATTTTTATGCCGCCCCATTCGCCGAAGCCTCGGGGCGGCTTACAACAAAAAATTTAAAATAACATTTTAAAATATATACAATAAAATACAAATATACACTATAAAACAAGCCGCCCTGGCCAAATAAAATTCAATAATATTAACATTTAAAATACTGCTTAAATAAAAAGGTCTTCGCCTGGCGCCGAAAAACAAATAACGACGGCGCCAGGCGGACCTCTCTGGGGAGCGCATTCCATAACTTAGGCGCCACCGCTGAGAAAGCCCTCCTCTGAGTAACCACCCTCCTAACTTCTTCCATGGAGGGCTCCCGGAGAAGGGCCTCTCCCGCCGATCTCAGGGGGCGGCTGGGCATATAAGGATGTAAGCGCTCCTTCTGCGAATTTGATCAGCAGACTGTTCACCCCTTCTTCCATGTCATTTATGAAAAGATTAAACAGGATCGGCCCCAGGACAGAGCCCTGGGGGACCCTGCTTGTCACTGGCCGCTGTCCCGATGATTCCCCACTAATTGTTACCCGCTGCTTTCGGTCAGTCAACCATGCCCTAATTCAGGGGTCTCAAACTCAGCTTAACTGGGGGCCGCTGGAAGTAGAGTCTGGGTGAGGCTGGGCCGCATCAAGTATTCCAGCACCGCGGTGAGGGTGGGCTGCTCATCCCGCGTCGCTCCCGGAGGCCGGCCCGGGTGCCGCCGCGCTTTGAAGGCCGCAGGGCCCCTCCCCCGTGCCCTGCCCGGCCCGGCAATTGGCCCGCAGGCCGCGAGTTTGAGACCCCTGCCCTAATCCATCAGACAATGCTTTGGTCTATCCCAAAACTCCTCAGTTTCTCAACCAGGATACCATGGGGCACTTTGTCAAAGGCCTTGCTGAAATCCAGGGAAACCACATCCACTGCATCCCCTCCATCTAGCCTTCTCAAAACTTTGTCATAGAATTCCACAAGGTTTGTCTGGCAGGACCTGTTTTTGCGGAAGCCGTGTTGTGTGGCTGTCAGCCTCCCTTCCCTATCTAGTATCACTAGATCTCTCTCTATTATGAGCCTTTCCATTGTTTTTCCTACAATGGACGTAAGGCTAACTGGTCTTTAATTCCCCATGTCCCTTCTACTACCCTTTTTGAAAATTGGGACCACTGATGGTCCTCTGGAACTTCACCCGTTCTCCACAAGGTCTCAAAAATGGAGGCCAGCGGGCGTGAGAGAACCCCTGCCAACTCTCTAAGTACTCTCGGGTGTAACCCGTCAGGGCCTGGCGCCTTTGTAATGTCCAATGCTCTGAGGAGCCCCTCGACTTCAAGGGGGGTGACTCTAATCTGTGCCCCTAAGTCCCCAGCCTCATCTAATCTCCTATGCGGATATCCCCTGTCCTGCTTTGGGGAGAACACAGAGGCAAAATAGTCATTTAGCATCTGTGCCTGTTTCCTCATATCAGTCACTGGATCTCCTTCCTCCTTATTTAGTGGTCCCACCACTTGCCTCCCCTTCCTCTTCCTATTTACATGCTGAAAGAAGCCCTTTTTGTTGCTCTTGATATTCTTGGCAAGTCTCAGCTCGTAATCAGCCTTAGCCTTGTGAAGAATCCTTCTGCAATGGGCCTCCTCCTCCCGGTATACCCTTTTGTCTATTTCCCCCAGTACCCATTTCCTACGGAGGTTCCTCTTTTGTCTAATCTCTTTAACCACCTCCTTTCGCATCCATGGCGGCACTCTCCTCCGCCTCCCCACCTTACTGACTGGAGGTATCGTCAAGGCTTGCGCCTCCAAAACCTCCCTTTTGAGTGCTATCCACCCCTCCTCAACTCGCTTACCTTCCAGTGACCTATCCCAGGAGACTTTCCCCAGTCTGGCCTTCAGTTGGCCAAAGTTGGCCCTCTTGAAGTCCCAGCTTCTAGTGCTCGACCTGCTGCCCGTCCACAGTCCCCTGATCTCAAAGCAAAGGATGGAGTGATCACTCGCATCCAGAGCTCCCCTAATCTGTACTTCATCTATCAGCTCCTCCCTATTGGTCAAGACCAAGTCAAGGATGTCCCCCCCCCCCCCGTCGCCTCTCGGACCCTCTGTGTGAAAAATCCTCCCTCTATAGCTTCTAGGAGGCGATGTGAACTGGCTGTCACTGCCGAGTGAGTCTCCCAAGTAATATCCGGGAGATTGAAATCTCGCATAATTACTGTGTCTCTCCCCCGAGATATCCTTAGAATCCAGTCTGTCAGGACATCATCCAGGGTCTCAAGTTGACCTGGAGGGTGATAACATACCCCCACTGTCAGGTCTCTTTCCCTGTCAAAACCCCTAAGTTTCACCCAGACTGCCTCTACCGAATCCCCATCTGTGCTGCATTCTGTCCCACTGCATCCTATCCCTTCCCTGACATACAAAGCCATGCCCCCAACTCTCTTTCCCTTCCTGTCCTTTCTAAAAAGGTGATACCCCTCTATGTTCACATTCCAGTCTTGCCTTTCATCCCACCAAGGTTATTGAAGGTTATTATGCCTAAAAGGTAGTTTAGAAGTCTTTTCACAAAAACATAAATTGATCTATGTGTAGCAAATATGGTGGACATGGAATTTAATGACTTAGTTTTACCAATATTATTACCGTATAGTTTGACTGTGTGCATGAATGAACTGAGAAATTTTGCAAGCTCCTTGGTTATATGCAATCATGTTTTTTATATTACATTATTGTTTAGAATCAGTCAGAACTTAATAGTAGCATATTGGCTGACAAATATTGCAGCAATTTAA